TCCTGAAAAAGAGCAATTTCTGAAAAAAGAAATACATACATTTGTTGTACACTAAGGACCAAAAACTACTGAGAGGCACTTTACAGAGGAGGTGTTTTATGAAACAGAGGTGTGATAAATTATTAATAGCAAACATTTAGGGGAATTGTTCATTGATTTAAAGAAGGCCTTTGATTCTTTGATTTGAGACAGAAGTGGTCATCAAAGCCCTAGCCAAACAGGACGTTCAAACTCAATACATCAAGATCATCCATGAGCTGTATTACGGAATCACTACCAGGATCTCACCATTCTACAGGGAGGTGATCATTGACATCAAGAGAGGGGTTCGGCAGGGTGATACCATTTCACCGAAACTCAAACTCTTCAGTGCCACCCTCGAGAACGTCATGCAACGACTGGAATGGGAAAGAATGGGAGTGAAGATAGACGGTCGGCAACTATACCACCTCCGCTTTGCTGATGACATCATTCTTATAACACCAAACATCAGCCAAGCGGCACAAATGCTGGCTGACTTCGACTGTGAGTGTGGAAAGGTCAGACTACAGCCGAATCTCATGATGACAATGTTTATGAGGAACGGTCTCGTTCCTGATGTTCCATTCGCTCTCAACGGAACGAACATCTCTGAAAGCTACAGTTATGTGTACCTAGGTCGAGAAGTCAACATGACGAATGACCTGGCACCTGAGTTGCACAGGAGGAAGACAGCGGCATGGAACACTGCACAGGAGGAAGACAGCGGCATGGAACACCTTCAAGAGCATCGAAGAAATAGCTAAGAGGATGAAGAACCTCTGGCTCCGGGCACATCTCTTCGATTCCACTGTTCTTCCTGCATTAACATATGCCTCAGAGATCTGGGCCCTACGCAAACAGGATGAGAACGCTATTTGGGTCTCCCAAAGAGGAATGGAAAGAGCTATGCTTAGAGTATCATGTTTCACTCAAATGAGAGAAAGAATCCGGAGTTCCGACCTCCGTTGACAATCAAGAATCAGCTGTCTCGTTTGCCATGGCGTCGAAAATCAGATGGGCTGGACACGTAATGTGATTTGGAGATGACCGCCGGACTAGAGAGATTACCGACTAGACTCCATGGTACATCAAAAGATCGCGTGGCCGCCCACCCACGAGATGGTCAGACTTCTTTGTCAAGACCCTGAACAATCGATTTGAGGCTCTTCATGTTCCTAGAACGAGCAGATGCCATTGGGTACACTAGCATGCGACAGGGACGAATGGAGACGTTACTGGTGCCTGCTCGAGCAAATTGATGAGTAATGGGATGTCAAGTGATCAAGTGATTTAGGGGACATACAGAGAGGATACAGGTGTAAATGCACTTGCCTTTCATGGCCTGACCCTGGTTCAATCTCTGGTACATTCGATGATCTCCTGAGTACTTCCAGGAACAGCCCTTGAGCACAGAGACAGAAATCGTTCCAAGCATCGCTGAATGTGGCCCCCAAACCCCAGCTCCCTCTAACGCCCCTGCCAGATAATCCCTATGTTCCAGGTACTGGTCTAAGCCCTTTGTATAGTTACCAATTAAATCCTCACTACAATCCTGAGGCGGTACAAGTTGCCTTTCTTTACAGACAAGAAGCTGAAGCCCAGAGAGGTTATGTGACTATTCAAGGACCCTCTGCTGCATCGGTGAAGATCGCGGGATTCTACCAAGGCCAAGGATCAAGGGCAGAGCCCCAGCCAAGGAGAGTGCTTGAGGAGAGAAAAAGTAACATTCTGGGGTCGGAGTGAGAGTACAGCAGGTAGGGCGCTTGCCTTGTACGCAGCTGAACCGGGTTCGATTCCCAGCATCTTACATGGTTCCCAGTGCACTGTTTGGAGGAATTCCTGAGTGCAAAGGTAACCCCTGAGCATCATGGAGTGTGACCTAACTCACACACACCCCCCAAAAAAATGTGACATTCTCCAGAAACCGCCAAGAACAATGTCAGGCTGTTTGTTTGGGGTCTGTCCCCACAGCAGCCCCGTCTCTACCATCTCTGGGCTGCTCTCGGGGGCAGTCCCCGCTGCTTCCTCCATTCCCTGAGCATCTCGTGCCCTCCTCAGAAGCTAAAACTCCCGGCAGTACCCTCTGCCCAGGCAAGAATGCTGCTGCGTGTTTTCAGTGCTGATACCGAGACTTCACTGCCTAACTTGGCTGGAAGTCTCGTGAGGTTGAGACCCGAGTCTCTCTCCTGACATTGAGCTTCCTGCCCGGTCAACAGCCCCACCGCAGGGCCCAGTGCAGGAGGACCTTCCCACTCCCTGCCAATCCTCTCTCGGGATCTTCCGACCCCCTGCCAATCCTCTCTCCTCCTTCCTCCATGCAGTCTTAGGGCCATGTTGGCCCAGAGTCTGAGCAAACACCAAATCGCCTCCCTCTGCAGTGCCCAAGCTGCCTACGGGCTGACACCCCCCACCCTGCACCAGTTACCCAATCAGGCAGTGTGTGCCCAATCAGGCAGTGTGTGCTCAGGTGCCTGGGTGCCCCCTCAGAGGTCCAGCCCTCCCCCACTCCTCCTCTGCCTGCCATAGATGGGCATAGATCGGGCTGCAGCCTGCTGTTGAGAAATGAGCGTTCCGTGGCACGAGCTCTGAGCTCTGTGTCCAGCAGGAGGGGGGCCCATGTAAACACTCGTCAGCTCATTTTAGTGTGAGGCATTGCCCGGCTCGTGCAAACCGTTTACGAAGGTGTCAGCCGCAGCCGGTCTCACAGGGGCTCCCTCCGCCACCTCTCACATGCAGAACTGCAGAAGTGCAGCCGAGAGGGGCAGGGGCGCAGAGCTAGCTCCCGAGAGGACATGACGCCCTGCGTGCAGACGCTCTCTCTCCCTTGGAGCTGCAGACCCCGCGGGAACACAGCACCCTGCATGCTCTTTCTTGTGCGACCCCTTATTCCTTCGTTCGGGGCACATCTGCCATATGCCAGGCCCCCAGGCACCACCACCCCTCTCCTCTCTGTCCCTAAGGATGTCCAGAAACAGACCTTTGAACAATCCACGTTTGAACTTCTGGGGCCCATCTGGGTCCTTCCAAGCAGCTGCCTGACCCCGTGCGTGATGGCAGGACAACGTCCTCTCCCCCTTCTCCTGTGTCTCCCCTCCCCTGCCCACGTGTGGCTTCTTGCTCAGCATCCTGCCCCAGAGGAAGCAGAGGGCTCGAGGGAGGACCAGCAGTGACACGGGGGAGAGGTGAAGGTGCAGTTCCTCAAGACCATGGACTGGAGAACTGCAGGTGCCTGTGAGTTAGGGGGCTGGGAATGACAATGTAGTTAGGTGCAATGCCTGTGGGCACGGAGAGGGCAGGATGGTGTGAACAGGAAGGACGGGGACAGTTTGGGGCTTCTGTGTGGGGACACGCATTCCCTGGAGGCTCTGCCCTGTTGGCAGTGGACTCAGAGCTTAGCAAGCCCGACTGCGGCGGGAGACACAGAACAGACGGAACCCCTCGTGCTTCCACCCTCTTTCCACATATTCCACCTCCTCCGGAAAGGAGACAAACAACCCCCTGGTTGGCTGCAGCCAAGGGGCCTCTCCAGAGAGCAGACAGCCTGGCACCAGCCCGCTGTGTCCATGGAGGGCTCTGATTGGGCAGAAGCCCCATAGGAAGACTCAGGCCCAGGAAGCAGCCCCTCTGACGGACAGCAGAAGGCCGGACACAGGCCCAGGCGGGCAGAGAGACAGGACAGCCCTTCCCTGCCCACAGGGACTCACCAGGCTCCCTGGGCCTGCCTGGCTGCCCAGGCCGCACACCCACAGGTGCACACACTGTACCTCATCGCCACACACGAGCACACACACATATGCATACACATATTCACACACAAGCACACACGTGATTCTATGCATACACAATGCACACAAACACACATGTGCACACGTACATGAATGTGTGGATACATGCATATATGCATGTAATTGTACGTCTTCACACCCAGGCACTCACACACTTGCACATGCATACACAGTCGCGTGTCTTTAGACATATACACATGCCCGTGTGTGCGTGTACACATGTGCACGCGTGCACATACCTGCCCTTGTACACACAGACAGGCTCGGCAGTGCAGCCTCCCTGTGGTGCTGTGGTGTGGTGATAGCTCCCCCCACCAACCTCGGCGACAGAAGGACCCATGAGCCCTGTCATCATCAGACAGTGGCCCTGAAAGGGAGGGGCTGGGACCCGCGGGCGGTCCCTGAACACCTCATCTCCCCCGTAACCCACAGACGGACCGAAAGCCCCACGGCTGGAGACGAGGAGCTCAGGACGGTGGGGGCTCTCCCCAGCCAGCACCCACTACACCCGGTCTGGCCCCCTCCAGAGCTTTGTCGCCTGGGCTGGATGTAATCACCCCCTGAGGCCCCACATGCCCTGCATGGCGCTCAGCTCGGCAGCCAGACCTAAATAGTTCAAGAGACCTGCTGGCTGTGCGTGGAGGGGTGGGCCGAGGGGCGGGGCAAATGCCCCCGGCTGAGCCCACGGCACCCCCGGCCGAGGCCCCCGCCAGCCCTGTGATGGGTGGGGAGCGGAGGGGGAGCCAGGGGCCCATAGGCTGCACTGCCTCCCCCCAAAGCTGGAGAGGCAGCAGAGCTGACTGGTGCTGTGGACTTGGGGGGCCCGATGCAGAGGGGCTCGGAGAGCACTGGGGGCCAGGAGAGCGGGCCCTGGCTTGCACCCCTCTCCCACCCCCTCTGGGGCCCTGCTCGTCCACAAACACGGTGGAGAGGGCTGCATCTCCACAGGGATGCTCCCTGTTCTCTAACAGGCTCCAGACTTCCACGGCCCAGAGCATCCAGCTGCGGAGGGTCCGAGAGGCCAGCCCAGGCTGGGATGCACCTCAGCCTGCCCATCCCGTGTGAGCGTGGGCGTGGCCCAGCCCTGGGGCGTGCCCGGCTCTGCCCCTGCGCCCACACGCCCTGGAACATCGCTCCTCTCTAGGACTCACAGGGAAGCCGAGGAGTGGGGACCCCGCGGGCCCAGACACAGCCATGGGAGCCAACGGCCCCGGCCCGGACACCCACCTCTCCTGGGACCTCGAGAGCAACGCCACGGGCCTCACCGCCTTCTCCATGCCCGGCTGGCAGCTGGCTCTGTGGGCCACGGCCTACCTGGTTCTGGTGCTGGTGGCCGTGACCGGCAACGCCACGGTCATGTGGATCATCCTGGCCCACCCGCGGATGCGCACTGTCACCAACTACTTCATCGTCAACCTGGCCCTGGCCGACCTCTGCATGGCCGCCTTCAACACCGCCTTCAACTTCATCTACGCCAGCCACAACATCTGGTACTTTGGCCGCGCCTTCTGCTACTTCCAGAACCTCTTCCCCATCATGGCCATATTTGTCAGCATCTATTCCATGACGGCCATCGCCGCGGACAGGCAAGACGGGGCGTGCAGTGGGTTGGGGTGGGGTGGGGGGGCGGGCACCTGAGTCCCTTTGCTGGGGCTCAGATGGGGCTGGCGACTTGCCTGCAGTCACAATCACGAGAGCAGAGTCCCGGGAATTACCCCCCACCAGACTCTGAGCCCACGGGGCATGTCTGGGAGACAGGAACGAGGGACCAAGAAACGGGAGGCGGAGGGGACACGGGAGGTGGAGGCACAGGAAGAACTCTGCACCCACCTGATTCCGGGCTGGACAGAAAGACCGGGCAGTGTTCTGGAATCTTCTGAAGTCTCTGATCTTTGTTAAAGTCTTTTTTTTTCCCCCTTTTTTTCTTGGAAGATGGGTGTTGGGGCCACATCCTGCGGTGCTCAAGGCTCACTCCTGACTCTGCACTTGGGAATCACTCCTGGAAGTACTCAGGGACCACCCAGGGTGCTGGGGATAAAGCCTGGCTCAGCTGTGGGCAAGGCAAGTGCCTTCACCCGTTCTCTGCTCCCTGTAGTGCATTTATCTCAGGACAGGAAAGCTGTTTGCAGGGCTGGAGCGATAGCGTGTCGGGTGCTTGCTTTGCAAGGTTTTATTTATTTATTTTTTTCTTCTTTTTGTTAGTGAAACACCATGAAGTACAGTTGTAGATTTACAATTTTTTGTGCTTGGGTTTTGATTATACAATGATCAGATACCCATCCCTCCATCAGTGCCCACTTTCCACCACCATGGATAATATCCCTCCCACCACCCATCACCCCCCATCCCACCTTGCCTCTGTGGCAGGGCATTCCCTTTTGTTCTTTCTCTCCTTTGGGGTGTTGTGGTCTGCAAAAGAGGCATTGAGTGGCAAACATGTTCAGTCCATAGTCCACTTTCGACATGCATCTCCCCTCCTGGGAGGATCCTCCAAACACCCTTTATTTGGTGCTCCCTTCTCTAGCAAGGTTTTATTTTATATGGTCCCAGCAGCCCTGCTCGGGAGTCAACCCTGAGCACCAACAGGTGTGGCCCAGAAACAAAAAGAAATCTGTTTCTACTGTTTTCTGATTCCTAGCTCGAATATACTTTGGGCAGAAGGGGTTCTGTGATATATATGAGATACATTTACACGCAGTTGCCTAATAAGTCCATGGGGCCCTCAGTGATTCTCCTGGGCTGCACATTGAGGGGAGCTGAGACGGGGCGACCAAGGGACCCCCCTCCCTCCAGAGTCCCTGTTAACGTTGGTTTGGCGGGAGGGGCCAGGTTTGGAACAAGGAGGATTGTTCTTGTCTAGGAAAAAGCAGACAGAAAGGGGACTCAGGAAAGAACCCGGGTCCCGGAAATGGGAGTCGCAGTCCGTCTTGACCCCACCTGAGTCTACCCTGCTTCAACCTGCCCTAGAAAACTCTCAGCTGTTTGCCTACAGAGCTGCTCTAACAATCTCACCAAGACAATTGACCTGTACTAACTCCAAATTTTAAAATGAGGGCTGGAGAAAGGGGACAGGGATTAGGGCGCTTGCTTTGCACGTGGACGACTCCAGTTCCATCACGGACACCCACCAGGGTCCCTGGCAGGAGCAACCTGTGAGCACAAAGTGAGGAGTTTCCCCTGAGCACTGCTGTGAAGGGCCCAAGCTTGAAAGCTGCCCTTCCCATGCACTCGCCGGGGTGCAGAGGTCAGAGGGAGGGCGTCAGGACCCCGGCCTAGGGTCTTCTCCCCCATGCGATGCCGTGCCCCAATCCCAAAAGCCATTCCACCCCCACTTATGGCTCAGAGTTCCATGAAGATTTCCTTTAATTCATTCAACAAATATTTGAATGTTCCCTCTGATATAAACACCAGTGGGCAAAGTTTATCCCAAACTCTCTGGCTCGTGGAACTTCCTTTTTAGGGGCTAAGAAGGGCCAAAGGGGCAAGGGCGCTACTGAGTGGGGTGGGAGCCGGGACCCCCAGCCAGAGGCCACCGAATAATCCCCCTGGTGAGAGAAAAGGACCTGTAATCAGCCACTCACCCCTCTTTCACTCGTTCATATGTCTGCTGGGCACAGACAGTGGGTGTTAAAATAAAAAGCAGATTCACGATGCCTGCCCTGGTGAGAAGTTAAATAAACACATGAAGAAACAAATGACAGGAGCGCGCTGAGGGCGTGAGGGAAAGCAGGAGAGGAAGATGGTGCACACGCCAGGGGCATGCTGGAAGGGAGCGTGAGACAGAGCCCCAGCACTGGCCATGTGGGCCTGGGACTGAGCCACACCTTGTGGACTCAGGAATGAAACATTCTGGGCAGAGGGCACAGTGGCAGGGGCCATGCAGCAGCCCACGTGCACACAGGCACACACATGAGAAATGCTCACGGTCACAGAGTCAGTAACCCTTGCATGCCCGCAACCCCACAGCAGGGCAAGGCCAGACACTGTCCCGATCTTGTCCTGGGATTGATTAGTCTCGGAGAGGACCAAACGCATCTCTGATGATTTTTGCTTTGGTTTGGGGCCTCGCCCGGCAATGCTCAGGGCTTACTCCAGGCTCTGCACTCAGGGATCACTCCTGGTGGTGCTCGAGGGACCATATGGGGTGCCAGGGATGGAGCCTGGGTCAGCTGCATGCAAGACCAGCCCCCTGCCCCCTGCGCTGCCTCTCCAGCCCCGACATCTCTGATGGTTTGGTTTGGTGATTGGGTGGCTTCCCAAACACGTTCAGAGGGCTTGGGTGCCACTCCGCCCTCCTGCCCCTTTGCTGCCCCGGTCTCAGAACAAACCAGCACACTTCCCAGCAGAGCCAGAGCCCAGGGAGCTCAGGCCAACTGCTCCAGGCTGCAGAGAGCAGAGCAGCCCGGATCCGCATCTGGGTCTTTGTGAATCCACGTTCAGACTCGCTCTCAGCTACAGGAAGAGCTCCCCACCCCTGGACAGCAGCTGTGCCTCCAAGTTGACCCTTGGGGCAGCTTCATGATTGTGGGGACAGAGGCCTCAAAAACAGGGAGGAAATTGTACCGCCCTCCCACCTCGCTGGTGAACTCGGCCTAACTGTCCAGGGCCTGGTCACTGGGAAAGGGCAGGGTTGGTCACTGGGGAATTGTCACTGGGGATAAGGGGATGTTATCATCTAGTCCTAGTGTGCTTAAACCCTGACCACAGCCTGTGAGACTGGGGAGTTCGTGGGAGGGGCGCGGAGGGGCCCCAGAACACATTCAGGAGGTGCCTGGTGTACTGGCCCCGGAAGGATCTCAGTGAGCTGCTGTAGGCAGTGCAGGCAGGAATACCGGGTTCAATCCCCAGAACCGCAGGGTCTCCTGAGCACCCCAGGACCCCTGAGCACTGTCAGAAGTGCTCCACCCAAAAAGCAACAATGAATTGAGATTCAGGGCCAGAGAGATAGTGTCGAGGTTAAGGCACTTGCCTTGCATGTGGCCGGCCTGGGCTCAATCCCTGGAACCCCCTATAGTGCCCCAAAACTCACAAAGAGTGATCCCTGACTAGAGCCAGGAGGAAGTCCTGAGCACTGCTGAATGCGGCCTGAAAACAAAAACTCGCCAGAAATTCCTTAAAATGGAGTTTGAGCTCCTGAGTCCTGTGGCCCGCACCCCTGGGGCTCAGCGTCTGAGGTGCACGGCTGTTGAGGGGACTGGGCGCGGGCACGGCCCCAGGGCAGAGAGCTGGGGCAGCACCACGGGCTCTGCTGAGGCTCCTGCCCGTTGGGACTGGCCCCATGTGGAGGAGCTGCAAGGCTGAGCTCCACGCCAGCCCAGAGGGATGCCCACTGCGGCCTCTGAGCACACACAAGCCGGGTGAGAGGGAGTCGGTGTGGAGGGCGCCTGGACGGGGCTCCTGGGGTCTCTGTGCTGCACCTGTGGGCATCCTCAGCCCTGCATGTCGTCAGGGGCTGGGGGGGGCAGGGCTGGGGCCCAGGCTGACACGAGGACGCTCACCCCTCACTCTGCCCTCTCTCATAGGTACATGGCCATTGTGCACCCCTTCCAGCCCCGGCTGTCAGCTCTGGCCACCAGAGCGGTGATCGCGGGCATCTGGCTGGTGGCCCTGGCCCTCGCCTTCCCCCAGTGCTTCTACTCCACCATCGTCAAGGACCAAGGTGCCACCAAGTGCCTGGTGGCCTGGCCCAAGGACGGCGGGGGCAAGACACCCCTCTTGTAAGGCAGTGGCCGAGGGGCATGGGGGGGCAGCTGGGCTGCACGTGCGTATAGAGACATTTTCTGTAGGGCTGCACGGTCCCAGTGTCTCTGGGATCCTATGAGCCCACAGCACAGAGCACTTGACACTGAGCATCAGGTTTGCTTCGAGTTCTGTACCTATATGGATCTACAACTCCGCTAAAATCTGGGACACTGCGATCGTGCCCAATTTGGGGACTTTGAAACAAACGGAGGCGCCGAACCATGAAGTGACATGATGGGCCATACTGTCCATGGGAAAGCGGGGGCTTCGCTGTGGACACTCCTGCCTCGCTGCCCGCTCTCCTCACCACGCTGGCCCTCAAGTGGCGCGGGGGGATGGCTGTCGCTGAGGATGCGTACACAGCTGTGTGCATGGGTGTGCCATGCTACTGCACGGGCATGTGCAGCCGCTCACCGAGGATGGGGGTTTTGGGGTGTGGAAGTGTGTGCACACAGGCATGGGTTTAGGATGCGTGTGGGTATATGTGGAAGTGTGTGCATGTAGGCACGGGTTTAGGATGTGTGTAGGGTGGTATTGTGAAAGCGTGCACATAGAGTATATGTGTGTGGGTGTGTGTGGATGTGTGTACATGCAGGTACGGATTTGGGGCTGTGTTTGAGAATGCGAATGTGTCTGTGAGTGTGTGTCTGCAGGTGTATTGTGAGATGTGTGTACACATGCTCACAGGAATGGGTTTGGGGTATGTGGGAGACGGTTTGTGCACATAGCTATGGGATGTGTGTAAGACCTGGGTATGTTTGTGAGTGTGAGCACACAGGTAAGGGTTTGGGTGTGTGGTGTATCTGTGTGAAGTCTGTACACACAGGTGAGGTTTGGGGCTTGGGGTGAAGGGGGTGCAGGGACTGGGCACAAGCACTGCAAATGCCCAACAGCAGAGCCCCAGGGTACGGAGGTGGAGGAAAGGGCAGGTGAGCCTGGGCTGAGCCGGGCGCACACCTGATGCCTTCCTCGCGCTGAGGGGGCTGAGAACGGTTTGGGGGGAGGGGCTGAAGATCTCCGCCTGGCCTGTGACTCCCCGCCCTGCCCAGTCCTCTCCCCTGCACTTCTCACTGGGTGGCTCCGTGACCCACCGGCGGGTGGGTGAGCAGACGGAAGCGTGTGTTGGCTTTAACCAGGGGCGACCGGAAACCAGTCCAGAGGTGGGCAGACTTAGGCCAGCCAAGTCCCCTTTGCCCTAAGGGATGTGAGTGTTCACAGCAGGTCACCATGGCAACCCACCCCCACTCCCCCAGCACACACATGTAGTATCCCTGGTCCTAGTCTGTCCTGAGCGTGGGCTGAAAGGGGACACCCGGCCTCAAGGCAAGGGGAGGCACGATTCCCTGTGTCGTCTGCTCCCGGAGGCTGAGGAGCCCGGAGGAGAGCCCTCCCGGGGGGGTCTCTGGAGGTCCCCACACCCCTGCTCAGGGAGATGCTGCTTGAAGACTCCTTGGGAAAAGCACGGATCTGACTCACGGAGGCAGGGAGAGAGAAACGTCTTGGAGACGGCTGCTGGGGGACAGTGTGTCTCCACTTGAACAGGGAGCGTGACCAGAACTTCAGGGACCGAGCACTGGCCAAACTGGCTGGAGCAACCAGAAAACATGGCCGGCTGAGCTCTGGAAAGAGAATTCGAAGAGGACTTGGGATTTAAGTGTTCTTGGGTGGGGGGGTGTCTGATATTTAGAGTGGGGGGCTCCATCATCCCCACGGGATATGTGTGTGTGTGCATGCCCACGTATGCAGGAAGTTGGTGCCCCCTTCAGAAATACGCCCCCAACTAAAAACACAACCCAAACAGTCCAGGCTGAGGGCGGCGGCAGGAAGGGGCATGCTCAACCTTTGGACCCTAGGCACCCCCTTCTGTGGAGGAAGTCCACCCCAGGGAGAAATGCTCCTCCATCTTAGAATGACTCAGACATCATTTCCTCACCGACCAAGTGGGGAGCCTGAGGCAGGACCAGCGCTGATTTCCCCAAGGTCCTCCTTAAAATTAGGTGTGGGCAGTTCTCCTGACCCCTCGGTGGAGCCTGGTGACCGGGAGCTGGTCCTGTGTGCACCATCGAGTATGGAGTGCTGTTTCCTACGCAGACTTGCTGGGCCTCAGTTTCCCTCTCTGCTCTCCACCCCTGAGGCAGGTGACCCTGCTGATCCCTGAGGTTTATCTAGATCACTGAAGGTCAGGTGACGGCGACCTTGCTGCTCCTCCCCCCCTTACCTGTTCCATTGGGGCATTCACGGCTGAAGCAGAAGGATCTGGCCAGCAGGGAGCCCCCGGAACCCCAGTGATGAGCACGCCTTCCAACACACAGACCTCCAGTCCCGGGCTCTGGAAGGACGTGGTGGGAGCTGACCGTCTGCTCCCCTCCCTCTCTGGGGTAGCGCTTCTTGAAAGGATCCCAATGAGGCTGGCACATGGGGGCGGGGGTGGGTGTTAGGGACCTCTCGCCCCCTGAGTGAGGAAGGCAGAGTTCACCTGGGGGATCCAGGCACCTTAGACCCGTCTCCAGGCCTCCTCGGCAGAAACCCAACGGGCAGCACACCCTCCCAAAGGGAAAACCAGAACTGCCTCAGCACAGCTCGGGCGTGAGGGGCCTCCACGGTTACAGGCCGGGAGGCGGCAGCTGGGTTCCCCACGGTTCTCTCAGAGGCCGTGCGATGGGCCTTTGCTAACTGGAGCCGCCTTCCCCGCAAAGGACGGAGCAGCAGGTCCTGGGGGAGGCTGATGGTCAGGGCGAGAAGGAGCCGGGTCAGCTCTAGGACATGTGGCAGCAGACACCAAACTCACAGCTCTCCTGGCTGTGCATGGATACGCCACGAAAGACACGCTCCAGGCTGGGGCAGGGACGGTTAAGGCCCTCTCCTGCCTCTGTTGCGTTTTCAAGTGTCATCAGTGCAGCGCGTGGATGAGTTTTTGGGTTTGGCGGGAACTCCCTTTTGTTCCCCTTCTGGCATTTGCTATCACCTGGGAGGGAGCAGAGCTACGCCCTCGACCCAATGGCTGTCTTCGTGGATTTTTATGATCCGGGGAGAGGGGTGGGTGCTGGGACTCCTGGCCTTGAGAGCTCAGAGCTGACTCCCAGCCGTGCACCAGGCACCACAGCGGCTGCAGGGACCCATCCCCAGCCAGGAGCGTGCAGGGCAAGTGCCTGAACCCTGGAGCCATCTCTCCCGCTCCCGAATATTTTGAATATTTTGAATCAACCTCGACCTTGGAAGGCAGGTGAAGGAGAGCCGCGGAAAGGGAGGGACGTGACACTCTCCCCGGCCTCTGCCGTGCCTGAGGCCTTGGCTCTCCTTGCAGGTACCACCTCGTGGTGCTCGTTCTCATTTACTTCCTGCCTCTGCTGGTGATGTTCCTCGCCTACAGTGTCATCGGCTTCACGCTGTGGCGCCGCGCGGTTCCTGGGCAGCAGGTGCACGGGGCCAGTTTGCGCCACCTGCAGGCCAAGAAGAAGGTGGGCGGGGCAAGGGGCGGGGCCTGGTTGTGGTGGGCGGGGCGGGGCGGGGCCTGGCTGTGGTGGGCGGGGCCTGGGCGGGGCCTGGCTGTGGTGGGGCGGGGCCTGGCTGCGGTGGGCGGGGCAGGGCGGGGCCTGGCTGTGGTGGGGCGGGGCTTGGGCGGGGCCTGGCTGTGGTGGGGCGGGGCTGAGGCGGGGCCTGGCTGTGGTGGGCGGGGCGGGGCGGGGCCTGGCTGTGGTGGGGCGGGACCAGGGCGGGGCCTGGCTTGGTGGGCGGGGGCGGGGCGGGGCCTGGCCACATTGGGGGTGGGGCCTGGCTGTGGTGGGGTGGGGCCGGGGCGGGGCCTGGCCACAGTGGGGGTGGGACCAGGGCGGGGCCTGGCAGCAGTGGGGGCGGGGCTGAGGGGGGACCTGGCTGTGGTGGGGCGGGGCCTGGCCACAGTGGGGGTGGGACCAGGGCGGGGCCTGGCTTTGGTGGGGGCGGGGCCAGAATGCTGTGGGGGCGGGGCCGGGCCACGGTGGGGAGGGGCCTGGTTGCAGTGGGGGCAGGGAGGGGCGGAGCCAGGCGGGGCGGGGGTCGGGCTTGTCTAAACTGCTCCACTCCCTGCCCAGAACCTGAACTGGTTCTTCTGTGCCAGGCCAGTGGATATGCCTTTTGAGATCTGGCCCAATACAAAGTCAAGGGAACTTTCCAGAAAGTTAAGGTATCAGAGGGGGTCTGAAAGCCCCAGAGTTTCAGAGAGCTCCAGGGAACTGAGAGTACTGGGATCTAAAATCCATCGAGTTTTTGAGAAGCCAGGCAGAAGGGCAACAGTGTCCTGGCGAGCATCCCACTGAGCGCCTCCGTGCAGGGATTTCCAGTTCTGTCCCAGTCTCAGATTCCAAAGAATGCACATGTGCCCTCCCTCCACCCCCAAACACACACACACACACACACACACACACACACACACATACACCACTCGGACCCCCACAGTCCTCAGCACATTTTCTAGGCGTCAGACCTCATCCCTGTCATGCCTGCTTCCTGCATAGTGACCAGGGAGGTGATGGGCCAGTGACACCAAGACCACGTGCAAGCTTCAGTGTGGCACCGCTATTGGGAGGGCGTGGGCAGAGACCACGGCCTCCCGGAGAGCTGGGCTCCACGTGCACCCCTGGCCCACCTTCCTAGGAAACACAGCACCCTGTGCAGGGGTTCTGTCGAGGGCAGGAGGGTCCCAGAGGGACTGGCCGGTGGCACTGGGCCATAGAGGCGGGCAGGCATGCTTGTGGGGTGCCCAGGGAGCACTGGGGCTTCCCGGCTGAAGAATGACCTGAGCCTCTTCCGGGTAGTTCGTGAAGACCATGGTGCTGGTGGTGGTGACGTTTGCCGTCTGCTGGCTGCCCTATCACCTCTACTTCATCCTCGGCAGCTTCCAGGAGGACATCTACCACCACAAGTTCATCCAGCAGCTCTACCTGGCCCTCTTCTGGCTGGCCATGAGCTCCACCATGTACAATCCCATCATCTACTGCTGTCTCAACCACAGGTGAGGCTCCTCGGCCCTGCCCCCGCCACCACTTAAGCCGGTACCCCCTCCGCCTGGGCCTCCCACAAGGAGCCCCTGACACCATTGTCCTTTGATCTTGGCTGGGCTTGAGGTCTTCCCTCTCTGTGGCCTTGCTCCATCACCCAGGCCTTAGTGTCTTGGGGTGTGCGTGTCTGTGTGTGTGAGTGTGTCTGTGTGAGTGTGTCTGTGTGTGCATCAAGCGTGCGAGCCATGCCCTCTCCCACTTAGTTATGTATCCAGCCCAAGTGCTAACCTTTTGGGTTTGTTTGGGGCTCACACCCAGAAATGATCAGGGCTTACTCTTGGCTCTGCGCTCCGTGATCATTCCTGGCCAGTTCGGGGAACCATAGACGGTATGGGGATCAAACCCAGGTCAGCCACATGCAAGTCAAGTTCCTTACCTGTCTTACCTGCTGTCCAATTGCTCCAGTCCCCTGAGGGCTGACATGTATGAGTTTCCTGTAATGAGGAGCAGATAATGTTTCAGGCTGGTCAGGCTGCACGCCGGGATCACTCCTGGTAGACTCAGAGCAGAGAACCGTATGGGAAGACACACAAGGCAAGTGCCGTCCCCGCTGTACTATTGCTGGGCCTCTGTACCTAGTTTCTTCCTGTGTGTCTGCGGCAAGCCGGGTCTGGTTGAGCTGAAGTGTCCACTAGCTCCAGATTACACCTGGCCATTCCTGAGAGTCAACCCCCCTCACGCGTCTGTCTCTGCAGAGACAATGAGCACTGGCGGGCAATGAGCAGGGAGGCAGTGACCTTCTAGAAGGGAGGCCCATTCTTGGTGGCAGCCACACCACCGCAGGACTGGTCAGAGTCCCCCCATCATTGTGTTGATACGGCTGACACCCCCCTCAGGTTCCGCTCGGGATTCCGGCTCGCTTTCCGCTGCTGCCCGTGGGTCACACCCAGCGAAGAGGACAAGATGGAGTTGACCCACACTCCGTCCATGTCCATGAGGGTCAACAGGTGCAACACAAAAGAGATTTTGTTTGTGGTTGGGGACGTGGCCTCGCCTGAGAGTCCTCAGGACAGGGGACCGACTGAGCCCTGAGACCGTGGCGGCTCTTCTGGGTGAGGCTTTGAAGCTTGGTGCCCTTTGATCAGCAGCCAGCCAGGAGGACCCGGTCTGACAGCCCGATCCAGGCCTCAGCTCCCCTCCCACACGTCGGAAACGCGATGGACAGAAACGCACGGGAGGGCCGGGAAAACTGCAGCTGTGGCCCACTTATTCTCCGATGGGGCTTCAGGGGGTCCAGCAGGAGACGGAGAGGGAGCCACAGCACCCCTTGCCCAGCCCCTGGCCAACGCCTTCCTGAGCGCATAGTAGGAAAGCAGCACTCGGGGTGTTGTGATAGATCATTGCTTTCCACTCGGGGCTACGGGGAATAGTGGGGAATGTGGTGGGGGGGGGGGGTGGGGCGGCCTCCCGAAGGAACGACAGATGGTCAGCTCTGAAGAAATGTCACCACAAGGAAGTGGGAGCCTAGAGGACCATGTGGGATGCCAAGGATGGAACCGGGGCTAGTCACAGGGGCTGCACGCAAGGCAAATGCTTTATCGTCAGTGCTCTCTCCAGCTCTCCAAAATCCGAAATCTGTAAGGCTTGCCAGCCTTGTTTGCTTTGGCTAAGTGTTTATAAACCAGGGAGAAGAAAACCAACTGCACCAATGGGTCGCCTCGCGCCAGAACACCGACAAAGCAGGGCGGGGTAGGTGGGGGCTTCTCGGTGTTTGCGCAGCAGCGCCCAGGTTGTGAGTGGACATCTGAGAGCCCAGATCCTGCAGCGTCCCCGGAGGTCACAATTCCAAGGCGCCTCAAGCTGTGTGGCCTGGGGCCAGCTGTCCGAACCCTCAGCCTCTTCCGGTCCCCCAGAAACACACCTGACGGGGCTGCGGAGAGGATGCTGGGAGCGACATCGGCACTCACCTGCCCAAAACGTACCCGCGCTCAGCAGATGCCGTGGTGGCTACAGCCGCCACATCAGCCTTCTTGCAGGCTCGCTCCCTCGGAGGGAGCCAGACACACACCGTATGCATGCACACCTGCACTCAGGCACACACACCGGCACACACGCAACTTACATGCGCACCAGCCTGCAAACGCACACACACCCGTCCGCATTCACACCCACGCACGCATGCCCCTTGCACGCACACTCACATGCAAACACACAAACACACGTATGTACGCTGCACACTCTGCAGCTAAGGATAGAAACATCCGCTACATGGCCTCTCTCGGGGCTGCCCACTCCCCACAGGCCGAAGCCTTGAGAACCACCGCGGGATGCTCGGCACACGTCATGAGGGTTTTGTGTCTCCTGGGCTGCCCGCAGGTCACCCTGCCAAATAGAGACTGATCTCACCCGGCCAAGGGGGCGAGCCGCCAGTCCTGTGGGAGCCACGGCTGGGACACACACAGGGGCCTGACTCAGGGGGCACTGCAGGCATAGCTGGCAGATACCGGGGAGAAGACAAAACGGCAACCTCGAGGTCGAGGGGGCGGAGAGGGTTTAAGATCCGGGGGCCTTCTGCTCCTCGCGTGTGCAGGCAGGGGTCTTCGTCCATCTAGGAGAGGAACAAGGGCACACGGCAGGGTGTGCCTGGGGGCGGGTGGGCAACGTTCCTCTCTCTGCACCCCAACAGTCCCTGAAAAGCAGGCTGGTTCTGTGTTCTGAACTGCAAACGAGGGGGTCTCGTCCCCTTTAGCAGGGAGGTGCTGGCAGCCAGGAGAAGGGACTTTTCTCGAAGGGAGGCACCAGGAGTACACACGGCCCAAACTCTCACCCACACCAAAGGCCACGCAAACACTGTTTGGGCTGTGCCACGTTCCGCCCCGCCCCCATCAAGCATCACACGGGTCTTTGGTTTGGTACAAAGTTTACTGGGTCATACAACAGGGCTCACAAAAGCGATGGGAAATTCCAATGAGGGCACTGTGTGTGGGTTGGTGCCTTTGATCCAAATAAAGACAAGACACTTGCCCCAAGGACCACCCACCTCCCCCCACAGAACAGACGGAAGGAAGAGGGACACTGTACAGGTGCGGCTCGAACCAGCTCCATGGACACACAATTGGGGGGTGGGGGCGCTGACCTGTCCCCCAGGGGGACCTGGGCACGCCCGACAGCATCGTCCCTGGGAGGAGTCCCGGCAGTGTCTGCTGGTGATTAATACATGTCACACAGAGGATGTGTCCCCAGCGACGGGCCGATGGGACATTTCCTGGCGGGCTGACCCATCACTGCTGGACAAATGCATAAATTAGAAACGGGGGAGGTGGCCACTACACTTCACACGCAAGGGGGGGACCGACGACCAGGCTGAAATCAAACCATGCAGAGCGGCAGGGCAGGCGAGATCAACAGCACACACTCGGTGTTTGTACCCTAAGGTTAGGCGCCAGTGAGTTGGGTTGTGTTGGGTTTTCTTCCCCTGCCTTGGCGGGGGCGTGGGTGGGCTCGGGCGCCGGCAGCCCCCACCACCCCCCAGCACGGCTCCGGGAGCAGAGGGGTCACCGCTGGAAGAGCAAAGTGCTGGCAGGGCAGCGGGCAGGGGCCCGCCCGGGGCTCTCAGATGCTCACTTCCTCCCGGAGCCGCACGCCCACCGCCGTGATGAGGGCGGCCCCCTTGCCGCTGCCGTCCTCGGACAGGAGGAAGGACACGTTGCACTGCGGTGACAGCTCCTTCACCGTCTGATGCATGATCCTGGAGAAGCTGAAACAGACGCGGGCCGGGCGGAGGGTAAGTGGAGGCAGCTGGGAAGAGACCCGAGACCCAGGTGGGCAGCCGGCTCAGGGGGAGCAGCTGCCTTGCCTGGGGGGTGGGGGGCCTTGAGGGAGCATGCCAGCCCACCCCCCACCCCCAGGGAAGCCACACTCACTGTGGGTGAAGCTTGTAGAGGGTCCCGTCCACGCCGACGGTCACAGTGAGCCGGTCCAGCCCCCGGTTCTCCCGGATCTTGTCCACCACGGCGGCCATGCCGGCGCCGCAGAGCTGTGCGGCTCGCTTGGACACCACCCCGCATACCATCTTCACCAGGATGCTGTCGTCACACGTGCTGTTGAGGCCCAGCTGCTGCAGGATGGCCCGGACCTGGCGCAGCGCCAACCGGTCACTGCGGGCAGAGTCAGGGTGAGGAGGCGGCGGACGGAGAGCAGCCCCGCGGAGAGGACAGCACCCCAACAAGTCACTGCACTGACCCAGGGGGTTGCTTTCTTCCCCCAAACATCCGTGGGGCTGGACAGTGTGTAATGGGCCAAGTTTGGCTTGCAGGAGGCCGGGGTCCCAACCAAGCACCAAATGGATGCCCCCGGACCCGGGGCAAGGGAGCTCCGGGGTACAGAGCCAAGGAGAGACACCAAGCGGTGCGGGATGTGGCTCCCTCAAGATACAGTAAAACACAAAATAAGTTTACATTTTTTAAAAAATCATCCCTTGGGGCCGGAAAGATTGTGCAACTGGTAGGATGTTGCCTTGCAAGCAGCTGATCCAAGTTCAATCCCTGGTGTCCCATAGGGTCACCCAAGCTCCGCCAGGAGGGGGGGATATCTGAGTACTGCCGGGAGTGCCCCCAAGCCAAAAAATAAATATTGAAAAAAAAATCATTCCATAGCATGACATAGTAAATTGCCGCTGAGAGTCACGCCCATGAATCACCTCTTGGCGCCAAGTAAGCTCATTCACCAGCCATCTCATACATAAATCTCAAAGAGATCGACAAGGGACAGAATTTCTCCTAGACTCCACGAAAGGCCGAGTCGTCCAGAGCACCCCAGACGGGGGCAGGTGAGCCCAGCACCCACCCAAACGGAGTCCCCGCAGCCAAAAACCTCCACACTCGCCACCATGCTCCATCCAGACTCCACTGCTCAGAGGAGCCTCATCCAGAAATTAATCTGCTGAAATACTCAGGTGTGCAGATTTTATGATTTCCAGGTATTCAAGGAGTTGGGGATGGGCTACCTTCCCTCGTGTCCCTATGCTTTCAGAAGCTCTGGCAGTCACGCACATGCCCCCAACTGCCACCCAGTTAAAAATTTAACTCCAGGGTCAGAGTGATAGTCCAGTAGGTAGGGCATTTGCCTTGCATACAGCTGACCTGGGTTCGATCCCCGTCATCCCATATGGTGCCCCAAGCTCTGATAGGAGTAATTCCTGAGTGCAGAGCCAGGAGAACCCCTGAGTATCACTGGAGTGACCCAAAAAGCAAAAGTAAATAAAATAATTTTTTTAAAAAGATCCCGTGTTGGGGCTGGAGCGATAGCACAGCGGGTAGGGTGTTTGCCTTGCATGCAGCCGACCCGGGTTCGATTCCCAGCATCCCATATGGTCCCCCGAGCACCGCCAGGAGTAATTACTGAGTGCACAAGCCAAGAATAACCCCTGTGCATTGCTGGGTGTGACCCAAAAAGAAAAAAAAAAAAGATCCCGTGTTAAAAATAAATTCAACTCCAGCTGTATGACCCTGTTTTGGACTCCCTGGAGCACATTTGCGGCTGCACAACACTTCAAATTCTTCAACACTGATAATCCAGAACGGCAGAGTCTGGCAAACTCCCCGTGGCGTACCCAATATGCCAAATACCAGTAACAACGATGGGTCTCATTCTCCTAAAGAGCCTTGAATATAATCTCAGGGTTAGGATGAAAGAGACGTTACTGGGGCCTGCTCGAGGCAATCGACGAATAACAGGATGATCTGTGATCTGTGATCTGATAACCCAGGAGTAGCACAGCGGATTGGAGTGATGTAACATAGAAGGCCACCAATCTCAATTAACAAAATGTAAACACAGAAGGCTTAGCATGTAAGAACATCTTAGGAATCTCTCATACAAGGCCTTAAGGGCTTCATGGTGAGATGCAACAATCTTCACTAACATTCTTCTAAGGAAACATTGTTGATGATCCTTTCAGCAAATTATTTATAACATCAGCAATATAAAATAAATTACTGAGGGCCTGCTATGGGGGCAGGCTTAAGGGGTGGTTGGGAAAATTGGAAATAATGGTGGTGGGAAGGTTCAATGGTGCTGTGATTGGCGCTGGAATATTGAAAGTTTGTAACTAAACTAATGATAATATACTGTCACTGTCACTGTCCTCCCGTTGTTCATCGATTTGCTCAAGCGGGCCCAGTAACACTGTGAGACTTGTTACTGTGTTGGCATATCGAATACATCACAGGTAGCTTGCCAATATAAAGTTATAAAAGTTAAAAAAAAATACAAAATCGATTGCCTCTGAATAGGGTAAATCCAGGAAAAATCTAAACTGCAAAATAATCACTGTCCAGAATCCTGACACCGGAGATTTGGCATTTTGCTATTTTCTTCCAATCAATCTTCTCTAGATAAGCATTAAAAAATCTTCGTTAGGGTAAGTAAACGAGCTTGTCCTTCATTTTTTTGTTTTTTTCCCTCCTTCGAGCCTCTGAACAACTCCTGAGCTCAGCACTGCAAGTCACAACCCCGAGTTCATGCCAGGGGTACGTGATGGGAGAAAGCTACGTCGTCTGCAGTTTTCCGCTACTATAAAGTAACACGGACAGACGAAGTTCCCTTAACAAACTCTTGAGTTTACCATCAGGAAACATTTCCGGGTCAAGGGGACTTGGGATACACAACTGCCAAGTGTACTCTGAAAAGCTGTGCCAAGGTACTGCACGCCAGCAGTGCGCGACCCACACCCCCACACCCCCAGTGGAAATAATCACTCTCATCATGGATTATAGACATCACCCATCAAGAGCGTGTTCACGTGCCAAGCACACTTCCACCTTCCCTCACGGCTGCCCGCCCGTGGAAGACACAGCAAAGATAAGGGGAAGTGTTTGCTCCCAAGGAAAACGGGGGGTTGTGATGGAGAATCAGCAAGCTCTGTGGGAAGTGTGACAGAGTGAGCAGGTCTGGGGGCTGCCTGTGGAGAGAGAGCCAGCGGCCGAGGCTAGCAGCTCTGGGCTCAGAGGGACTGAAAGCCCTTTCAGTTCAAATACCTGCAACACGCCCTTAATACAGCAGTGGACCTGCAAGTCCTAGTAATGCTCTATCTAACATTAAAAATATTTGGGGGCTGGAGTGACAGTACAGTGGAAAGGTGGCTTGTTCTTCACAAGGCTGACCAGGTCTGAACCCCAGCACCTCATGTGGTCTCCAGAGCACTGCCAGGAATAATTCCGAAGTGCAGAGTCAGGAGTAAGGCCTGAACACTGCTGGGTGTAGTCAAAAAACAACACAAGCAAAGTACAATAAAATGACAGGAGTCCTGGGGGCTGGAGCGACAGCACAGCAGGTAGGGTGTTTGCCTTGCACGCGGCTGACCTAGGTTCGATTCCCAGCATCCCATATGCTCCCCCAAGCACCGCCAGGAGTAATTCCTGAGTGCAAAGCCAGGAGTAACCCCTGTGCATTGCCGGGTGTGACCCAAAAAGCAAAAAAAAAAAAGACAGGAGTTCATCGCGTAAGTGCTCAGAGCCTGCTCCAGAGGTGATAAGACCCAGAAATGAGACCCAGTGACTGGGGGCGCCCGTTCCACCCCCAGGGCTCCTGCACAGGAGGCCCTGTGTGGGACTCACCTCTCAATCTGGGAGAGGAACTTGGTCTGAAAGATGCCCCAGGTCTTCAGCGGCTCCGAGATCTGGCCCCGGAAGAGGAAGCCCTTCTTGGTGAAATCGATCAAGATGTTCCGCACAATCTCGCCCAGGTACATCCCGCTGATCATCTTCTCAAACCTGAAGCAGGAGGAGGGCGCTGAAAGCATCTGCATCTGGCACCCCTGGCACCGGGCATCTGACTGCTCCTTGGAGTCGGCCCCACGACAGATGTCACAAGCAAACCTTCCCAGGGTTGAAAGCAAAACCACCCACCGGGGCCTGCTGGCTTGCCGGGTGGCACGTCGCCCGGTTCTCAGCCTCCTCCAGCTCTCAGCCCTCTGATGTCTCCCTGGGAGGCTGGGCTCCCCCTCCCAAGAGAGCTTCCTCTGCTGGTCACCCTGCACTCTGCTTCACCCCCTCATCACCCCTGCCTTCGCCTCCGGACAATGCAGGGCCTATGATACCACAGGTTCAGGGTTCCCGCTCCATAAACATAACATAACCATAAACTATATATAAACGCAAACATAAAAGGGCTTCATAAACGTCTGCAGAGTAAGCAGCACGCTACTCAACCGAGCATTTACGGGACAGATGAAAACAGCAGGAGAGTTCCTGGACCATTGGCCCAAAGGCCAGCCGAGTGAAAGGTCCCCAGGCTGGGGAATGCAGGAGGCCATCACACCCCTGAGGGCAGCTTCATCCCAGCCCTGTCCATGCACAAAGATGCCAAGAGAGGACACGGAGGGGCTGGAGCAATCACACAGCGTGTGGGGCGTTTGTCTTGCACGCAGCCCGACCCGGGTTCGATCCCCAGCATCCCATATGGTCCCCTGAGCCAGGAGTAATTCCTGAGTGCACTAACCAGGAGTAACCTCTGTGCATTGCTGGGTGTGACCCAAAAAGCAAAAAAAAAAAAAAAAAAAAAAACCAAACCGGTGTCCCCGTGTGGGGGTGAAGTCTGCAGGCGTCCTTCTGGAAGGGCATGTGGGCCAAAGGAAAACCAAGAGGGATGGCAGTGGCCACACACCCAGTTCCCACCTAGCTGTTGGTTCAACTGATCTGGCAATGCCTCACTCTCCCTCTGGGGAGCACAGGCCCATCATCCTTCCAACAGGAGTTTAGAGCGGTATAGAGGTGCCAGAACCAGAAACTCGGGAATACACAGCCCCAGTCTTCACTCTGGGCATCCCGGATCAGTGCTGGTTTGAAATCCTGGCTTCTCCTCTCTTCCCTTCCCTCATGACACTTCAAGAAAAACACACAAGCTGATTCGAAGAAGGACTTGGAGTGGGAAACAGAAGAGAGGTAATTCGCAGAATGCCACGATGGAGATGCGCAAAGAGCTTTATGTCTGGGGGGCTAGGACAGACCTCCTACTGCCTTGAAAGCGCAGTGTGAGCCTAGAGTGGGATGATGGAATTCTCGGGTGCTGAGACAAGGGGTCACTAGCATCTCTGACGAGGACCGCCGTCCCGAAACCTGAGCTGCAGCACGCCCCAGGGCCACTAGATGGCGCCCAAGGCTTGAGCCTGCCCATCCCTCTCCGTTCCACTGGCCCTTGGACAAAGGCTGGTCCCATTCTCTCCTTCCACTAAATAAAACAAGAGGGTCCCATCAGCCCGGGGTGGAAGGGACAGAGCAAAGGAAGGTCGGAATGTCCCAGCCTGGGTGGCTGAGAGGAGTGGCGCCTGTGGGCACAGAGGTGGCCCCAGATTGGGGGGAGGGGACGTTGTGAGGTCTTGCTTGTGCCTCTGAGACCCCCATCCTTCTGGAAGCTTCCTCCATCCTAATGGGTACCAGGCAGGCCCTGCGCTCCTCTCTTCCCAGAGGGTCACCTACCTCTGCTTCCCGGCGTTCAGGGAGTACTCGTCCACCATCTTGTCGAAGTCTGTCCTGATGTCGTCCAGGCTCCCGCTGTCCCCAAAGGCGCCCCATTCCATGTTGATGCACATCCGCCCCTCGGTGCCGTCCACCATCTCGATGTTCTTCATCTCCTCCATGTAGCAGGCATTGCTGCCCGTCCCTGGAAGACACAAGACGAGGGCAGGGGAGGTGACGGGCCAGGCCCGAGACTCCACAGACATGGGGAATGTTTCTGGCGAGAGCAAAGCCACCAGTTCCCAGGCCCAATCGACGTTTTCCAGGGAACCCTGAAGAGAAACATAAAAGGCAAGTCCGGGTTAAGCCTCCCTGCGAGCATCTGTGTACTCTGCGGTGCCACGAAGAAACCAGTCATGAGACTCGGATGTTTACACTGAGCTGAGCAGTATCTCGTCAGAGGCAGCATTCAGGAAGGAATTCTCTCATTCTCTCCACAGATAAACACGCGCACACACACGCGCGCGCACACACACACACACACACACACACACACGTTGGCAGAAAGTATTAGCCTGAGGGACTGGCTACCATCATGTCGTGGATGGCCACTTATCAACGTGGTGGTGGACAATGCCCGCACTGTCCCCTTTCCTGTGACCCAAAACGGAGGTGGCGAGGCTGGGGAGGCCAGGGTCCCAAAATCTCAAGTGTTCCTAGGGCTGGGGGGTGGCTCCAGGGGCCAGAGTCCGTGGCCTGCACGGGGAGGCTTGGGTTGGGTCCCCAACACCACCTGATCCCCCAACGCCACCAGCAAGCAATCCATTTAGCCTCTGTGTGCTGCCAGGTGTGACCCCAAAGTAAAAAAACCACGTGTCTTTCTTCTAATCTCCTTTTTTTTTTTTTTTTTTTTTGCTTTTTGGGTCACACCCGGTGATGCGCAGGAGTTACTCCTGGCTCTGCACTCAGGAGTTACTCCTGGCGGTGCTCAGGGGACCCTATGGCATGCTGGGAATCGAACCCAGGTCGGCCGTGTGCAAGGCAAATGCCCTACCCACTGTGCTATCTCTCCAGCCCTAATCTCCATTTTGATACCAGTACTTTCAAAAAAAAAATCTGACAATTCTCTGGGCGCAGAAGGGTGGGGGTGGGGGGGCGTCTCCCTGGGTGCACAGTGTGCTGGGAGAATCCCAGGGGACAGGAGCCCCCACACCCCCCCGTTTCCGGATCTTCCCAGACCAGGGCAGCTCTGACTGCAGCCCCCAAGTGCCGAGAGGGGCTGTCTGTTCCTTGCTCATGACAGGGATCAGGCACAGAAATTGAGAGCTCTGAACGTGGGCATCCAGAGAGCCTTCTGAAACTGAGGAGTTTTCACAGCGAATACATCCAAGCCTGGGGACCTGACTCTTTAAAGTGGAGCAAAAAACCCTGAGTCTTCCAATAAGCCTGCGGATCAGCTCGGGGAGCCTATTAAGAACCAGATTTGGAGGCAGGGCTGGGGCGGGGCCTGGGACTGAGCTGGCAGGCTGCGACAGACAGAGCTTGCCCAGGGACCACATGCCCGGAAGCAAGGCCCTAAGGCACCAACAAGCCTCCCTGCATGGGATGGAGCCGGTGCTGGGCCTCACAGCATCAGGGCACAAAGGAACACACCCACCGGCCAGATCTACACCCTCTATTAGTCATATGCAAATCCTATTCAAGCAAGGTTGGGAGGCTGGAAAGAATTTCTGTGCATGCAGACCCACAAACTACAGGATCCAGCATGCCTTGCCTCTCCACAGGAAGTGGTGCTGCTTCTGCGAGCAGAGGAAATTAGAGGCCACTGAGACCAATCCGGAAGTCCCTACGTGTCTGCCTTGTGATAGCACTTTCCAAACTGCCTTTCTGTTGTTTCTGAATAACCCCTCCCCCCCCCTTTTTTTTGCTTTTTGGGTCACACCCGGCGATGCACAGGGGATACTCCTGGCTCATGCACTCAGGAATTCCTCCTGGCGGCGCTCAGGGGACCATAGGGGATGCTGGGAATCGAACTCAGGTGGGCAAGGCAAACGCCCTACCCGCTGTGCTATTGCTCCAGCCCCTGAATAACCCATTTTGATGGCTAACTAACTGCTTGTTTGGATGTGACTTTTTTTTTTCCGTTTTGGGTCACACCTGGCAGTGTTCAGGGGTTGCTCCTGTGTCTGCACTCAGGAATCACTCCTGGCGGTGCTTGGGGGCCATATGGGACGCCAGGAATGGAACCCAGGTCAGCTGCGTGCAAGGCAAACACCCTTCCCGCTGTACTATCACTCTGGCCCTGAGTGTGACATTTAAAAAAAAAATTTTTTTTTAAATCCCTCTTGTCACCCCACCCCCTGCCTCAATGGCAAGCAGTTTCCTTCTTAAACACTCTCTGCTTTGGGGCACTGTGACTTACAATATAGACACTGGGAGGCCATCGTGTTTGGTCCTCTGTCGACTCTCAGCCCCCATCGCCCATGCCGAGTGATCCCTCCGACCATCACGGACTCAGTGGTCCCTTCTCTATCCCAGCTGCCTCCTCCCCAGCACGACACAGGCTTCCAACCATGGACCAATCCTCCTGGCCCTTGTCTCTACTGTTCTTGGGCGTTAGTCTCCTGTCCTGCTACTCCTGTCCTCCCGTTGTTCATCGATTTGCTCGAGCGGGCCCAGTAACGTCTCCACTGGAGACTTTGTGTTAGTCTCAAACTACGTTATTTTATATTCTACAAGTGAGTGCAGTCATTCTATGGAGGCTGATTGATGTTCTCCTCCCCTCCCTGCCTCTCCAACTCTCTTTCTCTATTTCGCGGTACCCCCGGGGCCCACCATGTACAAGGCAAATGCCAGACCGGTTACACCCCCAGCCCTGACACTTCCTTCCCTTTTAAAGAAACCCAGAAGACGCCGTGGTTCCTTCTGACTGTGTGACTGGAGTGTTTGTATTTTCTTAACTTCCTTTCATCCAAAGCGTAACATCGAGAGAGAAGGGTCTCAGAGATGGGAGTGCTGAGCAAGAAATCAAAAGCCTGTGAACCCTCCTGGCCGTGGGAATTCTGAGCCAACAGTAGTGGGGGCGGGGCCGGATGTTTCGGACAGAGCGGAGGGGCCTTGGAGGCAGCGGGTGCCTGAAAGGGGCCGGGGCCCCACCCCAGGGCTGGTGCCCAGGAACTGCTGAGCGGGCTGGGCGGGCCTGACCCTGCGGGAGGAGAATGTGCTGTGTCACTGTGCTGCAGCATTTACACCTAAGCCCATTCAGGAGCACAAGGGCGGGGCTGGGTGGAGACGCAGCTTTGCACAAGAGACAACAGAGTCCCAGGCCAGGCCCCAAACAACTTCGGGGTGGCTCACTAGTGTCCAACAAATCTTCAGGAGTGCCCTGGGATTTAGCCAAACAGAAGGTCTTCCAGCAGCCTAGGGGCTGCTGTACCCCAACACCCCAGATGGCTGATTCATGGCGGGGGGGGCAGCACCCCCATATGCTCCAGGCCCAGGTAGGGTCTGCAGATGTCGGCTGAGAAACGGGGGCTTTTCCCCAGCATCCCTGACACTAGGTGCAATGTTACCCTGGAGAAAGAAATGGTTTACCTGGAAACAATGTCTCAGGGCTGGAGCATAGTGTAGGAAAGACGGTTTTTGCCTCGCAGGCAGCTGGCCAGGGTTCAATCCCCCACAGCCCATATGGTCCCCCAGAGCCCTACCAGGAGTGATTCCTGAGCACAGAACCAGGAGTGAGCCCTGAGCACTGCAACGAGTGCTACCCCCCCCCCAAAAAAAAAAACACCACAGCAAGCTTCCTGGGGGACATGGTCTGCAGGTACAGACCCCTCCCCAGGGAGTCTATACTGTGAGGGGAAAACCCGCCAAGGGAGCAGAGAAACGCTCTGGGAAGCCCCTCAGTGGCCGCGGCCCCCCACAGTGTGGTTGCCTCAGGCAAGATGGCACCTGTCCATGGTCAGGGCAGGACTAGGAGGGCTGGGCACTGCCTCCTTCTCAGCCTCCGGGCCCTGCAACCATCACCCAGAACCTCTCCACAGAAGCCACAGAGACTTGCCCCGCCGTCTGGTCAGCCCCGCGCACACATACCCTGTCCAGCAGCCGTGAGGGCCATCTGCACCCACATTCCTTGGGAGCCCCGTTCTTGACCATTTGGCCACTAAGTGAAGCCCTGGGGTGGGGAGAGAGTCTGGAGACAGACGCAGCCCTGATCCAGGACCAGACTCCGGGAGTGTCAAAGCGGCATTAGGAATGGACGGATACACACACCCGCCGAGGACAGAGAAGCTGGACGAGTTCCGACGGCAGGGGCTGTCCCCATGGAGACGGGAGGGACCTTCCCGGACACTCACCTACAATGAGTCCGACCTCACAGGTGGGCTCCTCGTAAGCGCAGGTCATCATGGTCCCCACCGTGTCATTGACCACGGCCACCACGTCCAGGTCAAATTCCTTCGGGAAGCAAGTGACCCGGCATTAGGGGAGGGACGGCTTTGCCTGGCCTGCGTCCACTGCTTCAGCCTAATGCTCTGGGCTGAAAGTCCAGGCGCGTTACCCGGCGTTCTCTTACCAAGCCCGTTTTCAATGCTCCTCCACTGGCCAGAGAGACCCCCTTTCTGGAACAAGCTCTCCTTCACCACCAGCCGGGCCTCCACCCAGAGCTGGCTGTGGAAACTCTGTTACCCAGAGCACAAGACTTGCATTGTTCCAAGCCTTTATGATCTTGGTCTTCTAAAATTAATTTTAACTTTTTTATGGAGATTTAAGCATCTATAATTTTTTTTTCTTTTTGTGTCACACCCGGCGACGCACAGGGGTTACTCCTGGCTCTGCACTCAGGAATTACCCCTGGCGGTGCTCGGGGGACCATATGGGATGCAGGGAATCGAACCCGGGTCAGCCGCGTGCAAGGCAAACGCCCTCCCCGCTGTGCTATCGCTCCAGCCCCGCATCCATGATTTTTATAGTCAAGTGCCCCCCAAACAATTGAATAAACCGGAAAACGTTTGCAAACTGTTCCAAAGTTACCTCTCTCCTTTTGATTGCATCCCGTAAGAGGGTGGCCACGTCGTGCCCCACACAGTCTGTCGCCTTAAAACCCTTTGTCCAGGTGACCAGGATGCCCTGAAACACGAACGGGGTGGGAACAGACCTGTTTAAGGAACACCCAGGGCTGGAGGGACAGCACAGTGGGAAGGGACTCTACACTTGGCCTCGCATGCAGCCACGCTGGATCAGATCCCCGGCATCCCACAGGGTCCCCCAGCCCCACCTGGGGGTGAGCCCGGAGTGCAGAGCCAAGAGTAAGCCCTGAGCTCTTCTGGGTATGGCCACCAAAAAAAAAAGAAACAAAAAAAGAACAATTTCTGTGCCTTCTTGCAGGAAAACAGGCGCTGAAACTGAAGGCACCGGCGCTGAGGCTGGGACAGCTGAGGCTCAAACCAGGAGAGGGACAGCGGCCACTGGCCTCAGCGTCCTTACAGCAGGCTAGTCTGTCGTCTCCATTTCACAGGTGGAGAAACTGAGGCAAAGGATGTGAAGGAGGCCGCCCCCCGTTCTGGCCTCCTCCTGAGGAATGGGTACCCAGAAAACACTTCCTCGAGGCACAGTTCCCACCGAAAGGGAACTTTAGTTTGCAGTGGGCGAGGCCAGGGCTGAGCAAATGTCATGGTGAAGACAGGCAAGCGCCAAGAGCTTGCAAACACTGTGCCTCCAAGAACTGGGGAAAAAAAAACCAAAAAAACCCCTAAAAAACCCACAGAACTGCTGATATCTAAGAGAGGCGGAAAAGGCCTAACTCAGTACCAGAACTGGAGAAACCAGCTTCAGAAGAGGCGCCACTCAGCGTCCCTCCCATGGCAGTGACCGGCCTTAACCCCTGGCCTCAGGGCAGCTGAGAGGCCAGCTCTGGCCCCCTCCCTGCCCACACCTCCCCGACACACAGTAGCAGCGGTGGCTTTGGGCCGGGCTCCTGGCTCCAACCCATTTCCCACCCCTCCCACTCCCAGAAGCTGAGTCTCCGCGATGGCTGCTCACACCCAGCCCACTCCAGGGAGCAGCAAGCCTTCTGTGCTGGGCCAGAGGGCTTCCCAGAGGAGGTGTCTGCTCCAAAGCAGGGGGGGCAGGAAAGAGTACAAGGGTCAAGGCGCTTGACTTGCATAAAGCCAAATCAGGTCTATTCCTGGGCACCTCATCTGGCCCCCTAAATCCTGCCGGGAGTGATCCCTGAGCACAGAGCCAGAATTAAGCCCCGAGCACAGCTCTAGGTGGGTCCCAAAGTAAAATAAAATAAAAAGAAGAAATAAAGGTAAAAAGTCAGGGTGGAGGCTTTTTTTTTTTTTTTTGCTAAGGGCCATTTGGATATTTATAACATCATTCTCAGGACACGCGATCCGGGCGACCCACACGAAGTAACTGTGTCTGTCCCATCACACTACAGAGCCGGGCATGAAGTCCGACCCACCCCCGTGACCTCTGAGCGTGACTGCTGAGCACGGATGAGGCGGAGGCTGGAGGAGCCCCCTGCTCCAGCCTACCCTGGCCGCCGGGCACCGGGCACCTAGGGGAGAGTCTCACCTTGTCCAAGCTTGTCTGCTGGACGGGGAAGGAGAAGGTGAAGCCCAGAGGCATCCTGGGGCCTTTGATCCCCATGTAGTCCAGGAAGTCGGAGATGCAGGACACGATGTGGTCGAACAGCTGCAGGAGAGAGGCGCCCGGTCCAGTTCCCGCTGCCCATGCTCCCTGCACCCACCCCACCCTGTGCAGAGCAAGCCCCCCTCCTCGCGGGTGGCTGCGGCGTGGAAGCAGCCGGCCGGGGCTTCGGGCCACCAGGACACGAGCGTGTAGATTCGGGCGTCCCACGGCAGGATGGGGGGCGCAGGCGCACCCCTACCTGGAAGCCTGCCCACGCCCCTACCGCCAGCCGCACTCACCTCTTCGCCTGTGCCCTGCATGATTTCAATTGGGATGGCGTAGATCTTGTTGTGCATTTCCACAGTTCTCTTCTTTCCACTCCGGATTTTCACCAGCAGCACACGGAAATTCGTGCCCCCGAGATCCAGCGCCAGAAAGTCTCCGTGCTCTGTGGTGGACGAACGAAGGAACAGCGTGAGAGGGCCGAGCAGCCCCCGACAGTCCCTGGCCCCTGGCTGCAGACCGAGCACAGGGAACGGTTCTAACAGATGTAGGAGAGGAACCCCAACTCTTCAGCCCGGAGAGACGCGGGCAGACATGCAGACATCCAACAACCCCCGCGCTGGGAAAGGCCCCGTCCCGGAACACTGTCACCACCAATAAGCCCGCAAACCCAGCCAGGGTTACTAAGCATGGAAACTGGCTTTTAGGGAATCTGTTAATGGATTTTTTCCCGAGGAAAATATAAAAGAATAAAGTGTAAAAAGATGACCATCCGGCTGGAGCAATAGCACAGCGGGTAGGGCGTTTGCCTTGCACGTGGCCGACCCAGGTTCGATTCCCAGCATCCCATATGGTCCCCTGAGCACCGCCAGGTGTAATTCCTGAGCACAGTGCCAGGAGTAACCCCCGTGCATTGCCAGGTGTGACCCAAAAAGCCAAAAAAAAAAAATAAAAAACCATCCATGTGCACATATCTGAATTGGTCTGATTCTCAACCAAAGGCCTGAGGCCCCCAAGGATTGCCAAGAGTGACTGATTCCTAAGCACAGAGCCAGGAGGAAGCCCTCAGGCCTGGCCAGCACCACTGCAAGTAAATAAATTAAATTTGGGGGGCTTATTTTGGGGCCACGCCTGGCAATGCTCAGGGCACACTCTTAGCTTTTCACTCCTGGCGGGGCTCAGGACCATATGGGATGCAGGGGACCGAATCTGGGTGCAAGGCAAGTGCCCTACTCCCTGTCCTGTAGCTCCAGCCCTAAATTTTTTTTCCCCTTTGGTTTTGTGGGTCATACTTGGTGATTTTCAGGGGTGACTCCTGGCTCTGTGCTCAGGGATTTACTCCTGGTGATGCTTAGGGGACCATATGGGATGGGATACAGATCGAACCCAGGTCAGGCGAGCGCAGTATTTTTAAATGATCATCTGTCCCTCCCTGTATTTATTTCTCTGCAAAGTGATTTTTTTAGGCTGAGGGGATAGAGGGTATTTGAATATATCTGGTGACGCGGTACCTGGAATGGATCCCAGGTCAGCCACATGCAGGGCAAGTGCCTTCACGCCTTAACCCCTGTCCCAAAGTGACATTCTCCCCATCCAAAGATGCAGCCCATTTCTCCTTCCCTTGGATCCCCTCCAGACTGAAGGCTCGGGGTGTGGGGGAGGGGTAAATCGAGCCTAGGCCTCCGACCTGCCTTCCCTGTGTCTCACAGACCCCTGCCACCAGCAAGGCGCCAGCCCAGATCCCCAGGGCCCACTCTCCTGCACCCCGGCGGACAGACAGCCAAGTGCCGGGCATGTGAGCGCGGCCACCTGAGTTCAATCCCTTGGACCCATGCAACTACAGATGCAGTGGCCAGGCCAGCCCGCAAGGAGAGACCCTGGCAGGAGGAAGCGGCTGACCCACAGACCCATGACTGGCGCCTTCAAGCCATTAGGTTGGAGAGTGGCTTCTAACCTCGTAAGACAAGGTGGTGACAAGTCCCTTACACACAGGATGGGTCTGCCTGGGGACATTCACAACTTCAAGCCCCCTCCCAGCTGGAAAGCTCAGGATGCTTGGCTCCACGAGGACCCGCCAAGGCAACCGGAAGGGCAGGTTCTGTTCTGCAGTCGGACTGAGTCTTCCCTCCCAGCACCTGCCCGCCAGCCTGTCAGCTCCCACGCACCCCATTAGGACCTGACAGGCTGCCCCGGGGGCTCATCCTCTGGCTGACCAACTTTGCGGGCAAACCTAACAGAAGTCTTGGGGCAGGAGATCTGTCCTGCTTCACTCTTTTAAGAATGACTCTCCAGGGCCGGGGGAGACAGTCCAGTGGGGAGGTGCTTGTCCTGCATGTGGCTGACCTGGGTTCGATCCCTGCCCTTCCACATGGTCCCCTGAGCACCACCAGGAGTGATTCCTGAGTGCAGAGCCCAAAATAACTCCTGGACACCGCCAGGTATGGCACCCAACCCCCCCCCCAAAAAAACTGAATAACTTTCAAATTTTGAAACTTTGAGTGACACCTACCAACTGACCCCGGCCCCGTGTAATCCCATCAACAGCCAAGACCCAGAGACTATAAAACCCTGCTCCCAGAAGAGAACAGTGCAGAGTCTCCTGCCTCCGCGCCTGGCTGTCCTCACCGGGGCCCCTTGGAGAAGGGTGGGTTGAGTTTCCCTCCCCACCCTGAGCAGAGCCCCAGCAGCTGAAGACCTCTGGTTCCAGCCACAGCCATGCTTAAGACCGCTCTCCACACGTTCAGACAAGCCTCACGCATGAAGGAACCGGCCGAGGAACCCAGGTGTGCGGGACCAGGGTGTAGATCTCCAAGCCGGCTCGGATTGGGACCGGGGCCTCCTTCCTCCACCCAGATCCCCCATCTTCCAGGCGTTACACCCACCAACTGCCCCTGGCGCCGTGTAATCCCATCAACGGCCAAGACCCAGAGACTATAAAACTCTGTTCCCGGAAGCATGCGGTCGCATTTGCGGCCGCGCAACATCTTATTATCTAGGTCTTACTTTGGACAATCTAGCAGGCTACTGAATGTACCCTGCCCACATGGCAGAGTCTGGCAAACTCCCCGTGGCGTATTCAGTATGCCCAAAACCAGTAACAATGATGGGTCTCATTCTCCTGACCCTGAAAGAGTCTCGAATGTGGCACTTTTTAAAAAATCTCAGGGCTAGGATGAAGGAGACGTTACTGGGGCCTGCTTGAGGTGATCGATGACCAACAGGATGACAGTGACTTTCTGATTTGGAAGAGGGCTATGGTTTGCGAGAAGGCACTTGCCCGAGACGGCTTGCCAGCAGGAGTCAGAGGGAGAAACGGAGAAGAGGATTGAGTGAGTGTCTGGTTCCCGCCCAGAGCCTGCGGCCAGCCCAGTGTCCACGCACCCTCCGGAGGAGCCCACTGTGGGCGGCGACAGCCCCCATGTGACCTCGTCCTTCATGGGAGATTCGCCCATGACTGAATAGGTGTGACAAGGTCGGCACCCCACCCCCGACAAGGCCTCACCGGTCCCGTCCGGGGTGCTGCGGACGAAGGAGGGCAGCATCTTGACGACGGCCTTCTCGTGGGTGGCCTTCCTGAGCCCCATCTCCATCTCGGCCCGCATCCGCTTCTTCACCTCCAGGAGCATGTCCTTGGAGAGGTGGAAGTGGGCCAGGATCTCCTCGATCTGCCGGTGCTGCTCGGCCAGGCGGTAGGCCACCGCCGTCACCATGGCAGCCCCCTTGCCGCTGCCGCTCTCCGAGAGCAGGAAGCGCACGTCTGAGTCGGGCACCAGGCGCCTCAGCGTCTTGTGGAAACGCCGGGAATACCTGTGCGGGCGGGAAGCAGGGGAGAGAGTCGTGCCGGGGTCTGGACTGAGCACAGCACCCCCTTTCTGCCCTCCTCCACACTTCAGTTTCACTTGCTACACTTTTTTGCTTTTTGAGGGGCAGACGACGGGGTGGGGACCACACCCAGCGGATGCTCAGGGCTTACTCCTGGCTCTGCACTCAGGAATCACTCCTGGCGGTGCACAGGGGACCATAGAGGGTGCCGGGGATCGAACCCGGGTTGGCTGCATGCAAGAAAGAAAAGCACCCAACCCACTGTACTATCATTCCGGCCTCTCACTTGCTTTATTTTCGTTGTTGCTTAAACCAGATGCAGGCAGAAAGGAAAAATTAAATGGAACACACACACACACACACACACACACACACACACACACACACACACACACTCTCTCTCTCACGCCCCCCGGGAGGAACTAAGAGAGCCTTATTTGAAAGCAGATGACAAGCCCTTGCCGACAGGAATGTGGTGGGAACTGGGTTCCTTAAAAGTCTCAATTTAGTCACTGAGATTAAGGAAGGGCTCGATCAAGAACTTATGTCCCCAGCCCAAGAGCTAACATTTTGGGGGGTTTTTTTGTTTGTTTGTTTGGGGGCCACACAAGTCACTAGCAGGTATGATTAGTACTGTAAAAACTTAAAAATTTCCACTAGCCTTTTAAATAGGTGCAAGCCAGGCCAGGGATGTGGCTCAATGGTGAAAGCCCAGGAAGTCCATGCCTCGCAGGCATGCGACCTGGGTTCCGTCCCCGGCGCCACAAATATGAATCAGTAAATAAAATAGGCACAAGTCCTGTTCTTAGAGTCACAGAGGGCTTTTTGAGCTGCCACTTTGAACAGGACAGTGAGGCAGCCTGGCGACACAGCCCTCACCCTCCCAGGAGCTAGGGACGCCTCTCTCCAGCTCTCAGATGCAAAATCTCAGCCAGTGACTTCTCCTAGCTCGGTGCTGGGGCTTTGGGGGTGAGTGGGGGCACTTGGAGAACCAAGGGAAGCCAGGAACGATCCAACTCAGGGCTCCTGCACGCAATGAATGAGCTCCAGCCCTCTCTGGAACCATCTCTGGGTTCCCAGAAGAGTCCTTCAAACAAGGGTCCCTGATGAAATGAGGTCCCAGCAAGAGAACGTGAGAGACAGAGACATTCTCCCCATCCCGGGCTCCTGAAGCTGCAGAAGCTCTCCCGATGGAGGAAAGGAAGAGGATGGAGAAGGGGCAACAGCAGCCAGACCTGGGGGCAGGAGGTACCTGTCCCAAACGGGCAACCCTCACCTCGCCACTCAGAACCGGGAACTGTGTTGCCGAACCCCAAGCCCTAGGCTGCATGCCAGCGCCTGACCTCCGGGGGGGCCCCGCGCCCAGTGGGGAACGGGGTGCCGAGCGTAGCAAAGGGCAGACTCACTGTGGGTGCATCTTGTAAAGAGACCCGTCGACACCAACCGTGGTCCGCAGCCGGGTGGTGCTCTTGTTATCTCGGAGACGGTTCAGGATGGCGCCCAGCGTCGCGGCCACCAGGTTGGCCGAGCGGAAGGACACGATGGTACACACGTGCTGGACCGAGACACAGTCGTCGTCGGACGGCTCCACGCCCAAGCGCGACAGGATGGCTTTGGCGTGGCAAAGGCCTTCCTTGGTCCTGCGAGCGAGACGTGGGCGCTGTGAGTCGGGGAACCCGCGGGGCCAGGCCCACGGGAGGCAGAGCCGCACTGACCATGCGGAGAGGCCTGGGGACCAAGCCAGAGGCCTGAGAAATGCCAGCGGGAGGGAAGGCTGGAGAGGCCCCTGGGGGGATACGCTGCAGGACAAGCTGGTGCTCTGCCGGGGGTGAGGGCGCAGGAAGCCCTGGACGCCCCCGAGCTGGGTCTGAGCTGTCCTGGGACAGCCTCCCCCGGGGTCTCCCTCAGAGGGAATTCTTCTGCACACATGCTTTCAATCTGGTTGGATTTGCTGCAAGTCACTTTGCAGTTCTGTTACTATTGTCGGTAGTATCTTTTAAAAAATACAGAGGGGCCAGGGGCTGGAGCAATAGCACAGCGGGTAGGGCGTTTGCCTTGCATGCGGCCAACCCGGGTTCGATTCCCAACATCCCATATGGTCCCCTGAGCACCATCAGGAGTAATTCTTGAGTGCAGAGCCAGGAATAACCCATGTGCATTGCCGGGTGTGACCCAAAAAGCCAAATAAATAAATAAATAAATAAATAAATACAGAGGGGCCAGAGTGTTAGTACAGCGAGTAGGACGTTTGCCTTGCATGCAGCCAACCTGGGTTCGATCCCCAGCACACCAGCTGGTTCCCCGAGTACTGCCAGGAATGATTCCTGAGTGCAGAGCAAGGACTAAGACCTGAGCATCACTGGGTGTGACCCAGAAACAAAAATAAGTAAACTGAAATAAAATAAAAATATAGAGCTTTAGGGGCCGAAGAAGCCATTAAGGGGGTGAAGGGGCTTGCCTTGCATCCCAGGCTGTGGTTCTTACACTCTACAGACTGCAGTTCAAATCCCCAGCACTGACTAAGGTCTCCTGAATACTTCCAAGAGTCATCGCTGAGCAGAGCCAGGAGTAAGCCCTGACCACAACCGGGTGCAGCTCAAAAACAAAACAAAGAAAATGTTTGTTTTTTATTTTTTGGATCACAGCCAGCAATGCTCAGGGGTTACTCCTGGTTCTGCACTCAGGAATTACTGCTGGCGGTGCCTGGGGGACCCTATGAGATGCTGGGAATCGAACCTGGGTCAGCTGCGTGCAAGGCAAACGCCCTCCCCGCTGTGCTATTGGTCCAGCCCTCTTACTCTGAATTTTAAAGAGACTGCTCTGACCGTGTGCCATGGCAGGGTTCTTTTGACATGTTTTATTGAGATAGTCTTTGTTCCAATTGTCGTACTTGTGTAAGCGACTTCAAGTGGACTCTTGCTTCCGGCTGAACAGAAACGCCGGCCCCAGCGGCAGGCCCAGAGGAAGGCAGGCTTTTCCTGACATTGTCAACAACTTTCAGGAACCCACGAGCCTCCGCTCGCCCGACTGCAGCTGATGGGAGCCGTGGGCAGAGAGAGAGCTGACACCCAGCACCCCCACTGTCCCCCCACTAACCGGAGGTGTCCAGTGGTCATGCAGGACCAAGATCTGAGGACCAGTGCAGAGGTAGGACAGAGGAACAATGTCCACATCCCACCTCCTCTCAGGAGCGGGACAGGAAGCTGCTGGCTGGGCCTCAGTGCCCAGGACCCCAGGCAGCGAGCAGGAAAGCCCACCTCAGGCAGAGTTGGAACGGGCATTTCTGCCCTCCGAGCTCGCCTGACGTTTGCACAGGTGGCCCATGGGGCTCCCTGGAGTGGACAGTGCCCGATAGAAGTGGGACGCGGAGGTCACCGCAGACAGGAAACCCTCAGACCTGGCTGACTCTAGCAAAGTGTCTCAGGACCAAGTTTCTCTGCACCCCTGGGTGGGGTGGGGGGACCAGAGGAGCCCGAGTTTCTTTTTCTTTTATTTTTTTTGCTTTTTGGGTCACACCTGGAGATGCACAGGGGTTACTCCTGGCTCGTGCACTCAGGAATTACTCCTGGCGGTGCTCAGGGGACCATATGGGATGCTGGGAATCGAACCGGGGTCTGCCGAGTGCCAGGCAAACGCCCTCCCCACTGTGCTCTCACTAAGCATGAGTTTCTGACACGCGGCAGAGAGCGACAGGTACCAGCAGGGCTCGGCCCTCCGACTGTGTACCCGACGTGTTGGTGGACCAGCGTTTCCCAGATTTGGGCCAGGGGCACACACACCTTCTGGCTGTTAAGGGGCAAGAGAGGGAGGAGGCAGGGGGAGGCCCGTGAGCTGGGGTGTTATGGGAGGAGTCTCAGCCACGAAAGCGTTTTCGGAAATGAGAAGCGACCCACAGAGACCTGGGTTTGCTAGGCCACGTGAACCACAGAAAGACCCACAAAGGGCACAGACCTGCAGGACTCCTCAACCCAGCTGCTCACAGGAGCTTTTTTCTCCAATTATCTCGGCCCTGAAAGCCCAAGAGAAATCCCAAGGCCCTGGGTCTGGCCTGGTCAGCGCCTGGTCACAGATGAAAATCACCTGTTCTTGGGAATCTGCTCTTCTCCGTGCATGGGGCTGTGGGCAGGGAGGAGGGAAGTGGCAGGGGCGGTGATGGAGGCATCTGCGCCCTCAACATTCTTCGGTGTTTTGCTTTGGTGTGGGGGGAGGGAGGGCCACACCCCGGAGTGCGGGAGGTTGCCCCGGCTGGACTCAGGGGCAGTGCAGGAACAGAACCTGGGCGTCCCCATGCAGAGCACGCAGCTGGCCTGCCGGATGTCTTGCTGGACATCCTGCACGCGCCTGCAAGCTGTGGGCACACCAGCCCCAAAGGCCAGGGTCAGAATTTATTTTTTTGTATGGGTTTTGAGCAATGCTCAGGGCTGACTCCTGCCTCTGCACTCAGGAATTACTCCTGGCAGTGTTCGGGGGAACCATATGGGATGCCGGCGATCGAACCCAGGTCCACCGCATGCAGGGCAAATGCCCTCCCTCATCGCTGTACTATTGTTCACGGGGACAGACGTGAGCGGTCACAGGCCCCCACTGATGCCCCGCGGTCCCCTCCCCTCAAAGCCGAGCGAGGCACTTACTTCTCAATGGCCGCCACGTCACTGGTGGTAAAGGACCCTCGGGTGAGCAGCTCTGGGGTGATGCGCCCCTCAAATAAGAGGCTCTCCTTGGCCATCTTGACCACGATCAGCCGGACCAGCTCCCCCAGGTACATGCCGCTGACCATCTTCTCGAACCTGTGGGAGCCAAGCGCAGGGACCTGTTAGCACCAGGGACAGACACAGGGCGGGTCACCAGGACCCGGGGGTGGGGGGGGGCGGGCAACAGGAGGAGGTGGTCCTGCAGAGAGGCAGCCTGAGGGGCAGGGGTGGTCCGGAGGGTGTGGGGTGGAGAAGAAAAGGAGGTCTCTGGGCAGATGGGAAGGGATATGATTGCCACTTACACAACAGCTTACAAAAACACAGTATGAGACGAGCACTGAAGGACGTAGGAACGAGGGCCAGGAGGACTGGGCCACGGTTGGAAGCTGCCCCAAGTACAGGGGAGAGTGAGTTAGGATAGAGAAGGGACCAGTGTGACAATGACAGTTGGATTCAATCCTTTGGACAAGACCTGAGTGCTAAAAGTGGGTAAAGCGATATCCCTGGCAGCCTTTCAGTACCTGTATTGCAAGAGACAGAGACAGAGACAGAGAGACAGAGAGACAGAGAGAAAGTGCCTGCCATCGAGGCAGACTGGGGAGGAAGGAGAAAAACTGGGGACATTGGTGATGAGAAATGCGCACTTGGGAAAGTAAAGGTGTTGGAAAATTATGACTGAAACCTAATCATGAACTTTTTAACTGCATCTCACTGTGATTCAACTGGGGAGAGAGAGAGAGAAGGGAAAAACCAAAAAACAAATGCTTCTCAGGGGGCTCTCGTCTGCCCCCTCCACCAGGCAGGTCACCCAGCCCTACCGGGAGGAAAGAGTCTCCCCATTTCATGACTTCTCTGAGGGCAGCCGAGACCGGGAGGCTGGACGCAGGGGCTGTGTCCGGGGGTTCTCTGCTTCCGCCATCCCCCCAAGCCAAGCGTCCCCCCAGAGTCCCTTCTCTCACTCTGCGGCCTACTGGGTCCTGAGTTTCACCCCCGGCACCATACGGTACCTGAGCACACCCGTGTGTATATCACCTTCTGCACTCCAAAAAAAGTATTACGAATTTACTTTGGGGAACTGACTCCCCGCTCTGAGCCCACCCTAAACCCCAGGGAGGGCTCGGGGTGGCCGGAAGTCACTGGGCTGGGCCATGTTCAGCCAAGCGAGTTCCTGGGGGATGTGTGAGGCCTGGCGAGGCGCCCGTCTGAGCTTGACCCTGTCCAGGCTGACCAGGGCCCGGGAGGAAGCCGGGCGCAGGACGGATCCCAGAGACTAAGCCACGTCAGGGAGCCACGTGAGCTTTCAGAGCTGGCAGCGACCCAGCGGGAGGACCGGACGGGGCAGGGCAGGCCGGGGAGGCTGCTGGGACCCGAGCACCTGCCCCACCCGCTGTACTCGGGTTCTCATTGTTCTCTCTCCCGACAGGGCCAGACAGCCCAGGCTCCTTGGCAGGAGTGCGCCCTGCAGAGCGGGACCTGCCCGGCCCGGCCCGGCCTCGGGCACGGCTGGGGAGAGCCCTGGCACAGCCCCCAGCAGGCGCCGCGGAGTCGGCCTGCCCAGGCGCCTGCCAGCTTCTCTCTCGCACGTCCTGTCGACCCACAGCTCGGGACCTTGACTTCCTCGCTGGCGGTGTGGGGCGAAGGCTCTGCGTGCCTCAGAGCCCAGCTACTGCGCACCGTGGCTTTCCTGGGCATCCCCCCGCTTCCTCTTATTCAGCACTGCACCCCGTTACATCATCTTCCCCTCATAATCCTGGGAGTGGGCACGGTCTGCCCATTTCATAGACGGGGAAACTGAGGGAGAGGAAAGGTTGGTGTTGTGTGCCGAGTCACAGAGCCATGAGGAGAGGCAGATGCGGAGCCGGGACCCAGCTCAGTGTCCAGTGCGAGGGGCTCGATGCCCAGGAGACAGAGCTGGCCAACATCGCTATTCCCTGGGACCGGCAGCCACCAGCCCCACCCCCAGCCTGGGCTCCGCACATGCATCGAGGCAGTGACGTGCAAGGGCTCGTGAGTGAGCCTCTCGCTCGCTCACTTCCTCCCAGGGGCCTGCAGCCTGTCAGACTGACACCCCGACTGTTTCTCCCTAAGGAGAGCTAAGACTGGCTTTTCCCACTGCCCCGGGAGAGACTCCACACTGGGCAGTGCTCAGGCCTGAGTCCTGGCTCTGCACTCAGGGATCACTCCTGGCGGTGCTCAGGGACCATACGGGATACGGGGGATCGAACCCGGGCCAGATGCGAGCAAGACAAACGCTCTGTCTGCTGTCCTTCCGCTCCTTCTCCACCCCGCCTCGATGCCCTTCTGCAGATAAAGGAAGCAGGAGGCCACAGCCCTGACCTTCCCAGCCCTGACCCCCGGCCGGAGGGAGGGGACGAGCAAACAGGCCTCTCGGAGCCGGGATCTGTTCCAGCCAGGATGACCGGGGGCGGCGGAGCCCCCTTTACTCCTGGGGACCTGAGTGAGCAGGCAGCTGGCCACCCTGGCCACAGGACAGCGAGCAGCGTTGGTCCGCGGGCATCGCTGAGACCTGTGGAGGTCACATGCATCGAGGCAGTGGCGTGCAAGGGCGAGAGCTCCCTTGGCAGCCGGGCCAGCTCCACCAGGCAGCCCGAGGCAGGGAAGGGGCGGGAGGAGCCCTGTCACGCCAACAGGGCTGCGGGTGCTGGGAGGTGCCAGGTGTTATGCAGAATGCCAGGCAGGAAGGCGTGTGGCACTGCGCTGTTCCTTCCTGGAGGAGGAGGTCACTGCTTGGCCGGGTTTCTTTCTCCTTTTTTTTTTTTTTTTTTTGGTGGTTGCAGGTGAGGGGGTCAGTATCTCTGAAGTTTGAAGAATGGGATAAGCAAGCACAGGCAGCCTGAGCCAAGACACCAGGCAGCACAAAGGAAACAGGAAGGACAAGCGAAGGGCGGTTAAAACCAAAACGAGGGGCTGGAGCCCGATAGCACAGCGGGTAGGGCGTTTGCCTTGCATGTGGCCGACCCGGGTTCAATTCCCAGCATCCCATAGGGTCCCCCAGCACCACCAGGAGTGATTCCTGGATGCAGAGCCAGGAGTAACCCCTGAGCATGGCCGGGTGTGACCCAAAAAGCAAAAATAAATTAATAAAACCGGAAGGAGGTGGCACCGAAACAGCAGGAGGGGCTGGAGAGCGAGCAGGGCAGGGGGGGTGCTTGCCTTGCACGTGGCTGACTCAGAGTCCATCCCTGACACCCCATATGGTCCCCCGAGCACTGCCAGGAGTGATCGCTGAGCACAGAGCCTGAAGCACTGCTGGGTGTGGCCCAGATGCACCCTCCCCCGCTCCACACTGAAAACCTTTCCTAGTCATCGCCTGTTTTCAGGAATATGCAGTACAGCCCACATGCAGTCCGAGATCTGACCTGTGATAACCTGCAAGCAGGGAGACGGGCAGGAAGACGGCCTTCCCCGGATCCTGGCCTTCCCCATCCTTCATCACTCACCTGGCCAACCCCCCAACCCTCCCCCCTCCACCCGTGTGGCTCCCCCTCCCCCCATTCGACAGCTGTGAGCCCAGCTCACTCACAGTTTGGCCTGGGGACACAGGGCAAAGGACAAAGAGAGGGGCCCGGGTCCTTATCGCTCTGTTCCGGCAGGTAAAGGCCTGGCCGCTGGGCTATGAAGGCAACCTGGGAGGAAATGCTGACCACTGGGAGGAAATGCTGACCACGAGGCTCAGCATTCTCCTCCGAACCCCGGGGTCACCGTGCTGGGAAGGCGGAAACGGCAGGTTTGGGAGGCCTTGGACGGGGGCATGGTGTGCATGCTCTGGGCCACTGGTGCTTATCCCCACCCATGCATCTCCAGGGAGACACCCCCAACAGTTCCACGGCAGGGTTGGGGGTGAAGGGTCAAGTCAGCACATAAGGGTGAAGACAAAACTCACTGGCTGTCAGAGCGGAAGCTGGGCGTTCTCACCATGCTGGCGTCTCCGCCCCAGGATGCAAAGCGAGGGTTCAACTCTGAGTCTAAGACCCTGGGTTCTCCCAGCGGCTTTTGGCAGAAATGCATCCGCTCCCCACAGTCGGTTACTGGAGCCAGGCCACCCCAGGAGGAAAGGGTGCTGTCCCTCTGCCTGCTCCCCCTTGGCAGTTCGGTGGCCGCCATCCTCCAGAGGCCACTGGACAGTCAGGTTTAGGCCCGCAGTAATGAGACACAAGGGGCCTCACGGGATGGGGGTGGAGCCGGTCCTGTCCTCCCCACCCCAACGAGACCACAAGTCATCGCCCACGAACGGCCTCTCTGGCTCCTGATCAAGCTGCTCAACGGCCATGATCCCAGAGACTCTGGAGCAAATCTCGAAACCCAGTGGCTTTTGGCAGAAATCCCTCCAGATTTCATTGTTAAAATTTCGGAATTCCAAAATTGCATAGCCACTACTGTGGCCGCGCGACATCATATGTTCTTCATAACCAGCAATAGAAAACAAATTGTCTACCGTTGCCTTTTCGGCAGATCTGAGTGTTGGGGTAAAATCCCAAATAATAATGGTGGGTCTGGTGTCAAAATACTGAACGTAATCTAAGTAGAGAGAGAGTAATGTGGGAATCATCTGCCCCACAGGTAGGGGGAGGGTGTGGGATGGGGGTATACTGGGGTTTTTGGGGGTGGAAAATGGGCACTGGTGAAGGGACGGGTGTTTCATCATTGTATGACTGAGACTTAAACCTGAAAGCTTTGTAACTGTACTCATGGTGATTCAATAAATAAATTTATGAAAAAAAAAAAGTAAGGTGGAGTTCATGCCCAATTCAATCAGCCTAATCAATGGCTGACTAATTAGCAATACTCCTGCATTAGAAAAAAAGAACCTGGGTTCTCTTCCCTCTTCCTGACAAGCTCTGACAGTGTGTGCACGGGGCACTGGGGTCACCTGGGCCGCTCCTCTCACCAAGCGGAAAGCCACCCAGCCCGGGTCTTGTCATCTTTTGGGAAACGGATTTCAAAATGACCAGGGCACGCCGCCTCCTGCGGGGACCACTCTAAAGAGAGCAGGATGTGGGGATGGATCTCGGCAGGCGGGAGCCTCCGGCTGGCAGGATCCAAGAGCGTGAGCAAGATCACAGCCAGCGCTTGGGGAACAGAGACAGTAGCCGCCGTGCTGGGCTGAGCCGGGCGCTCTCTAGGGCCCCACGCCTCTGGGCTGGCCAGTCTGACGATGGCTATGAACTCGGAAGTCTGCGCATGCTCCACTCCCTGAGAAGCTCCGTTTATTCACCACCCCAGCTGCTGTCCTGCTTGTCCCAACGGCTCAGTCCCTTACAGGACCGATGTCAGCCTTGGGGACTGACCTCACCTAGAAGCCCTGCAAGAGAAGGAGCTACTGGGCTGGACAGTACAGTGGGTAGGGCGATGATCTTGCAGGCGGCTGACTTGGGTCCCATCTCTGGCATCCCATCCTGTCCCCTGAACACTGCCAAGAGTGATCCCTGAATGCAGAGCCAAGAATAAGCTGAGCATCACTGGCGTGGCCCAAAACACACAACAACACACATGCGCGTGCACACGTGAAAGAGAGACAGAGGGTCTGGAATGATAGCACAGCGGGTAGGGCGTTTGCCTTGCACGTGGCCAAACTCGGTTGATTCCCAGCATCCCATAGGGTCCCCCGAGCAACACCAGGAGTAATTCCTGAGTGCATGAGCCAGGAGGAACCCCTGTGCATCGCCAGGTGTGACCCAAGATGGGGGGGGTGGGAGGGGAGAGAGAGAGAGAAAGGAGCTACTTTGCATCCTGTTAGCTGCGCACAGCTCCACCAGAAAACTCGAGAACGTCACACTGAAGGAAGCAACTCTCACACTCCCTTCCGCAGCCAAGAGCCCCATGCTATGCTATCTCTCGGCCTCAGTTCAGCGCCAGTGACTGACAACGGAGCAGAGGCGTGTTTCTACCCAGAGCTCCAGTGCCTCTAAGCCGGGAGGAAAGGCCCAGAAGCTTCCACGTCCGCTGGGCCTGTCGGAGTGCAGCTTCTGCAGCCCCAGGAGGAGGAGGGACAACGGAGGCGACCGTGCTGGGTGTCCCTCCCGTGCTCCCAGCCCCTCCCCTCTCCCAGCCAGACCCCCCTCGGGTGAGCAAAGACAGAGCTGGACTCACAGCTGCTTGCCAGGGTTGAGCGATCCCCGGTCGATCTCCCGGTCGAACTCGGTGCGAATGTCCTCCAGGGACCCGTCGTCCCCGAAGGCCCCCCACTCCGTGTTGATGCACATGCGGCCCTCGTCGCCCTCCACCAGGTCGATGTGCCTCAGTTCCTCCATGTAGCACGCGTTGGTGCCGGTGCCTGAGTGAGAGACGACACAAGAAAATCAGAGACGGGGGTCGGGTGGGGGGAGGGCAGGGCTCGGGGAAGGGGGGCCAAGGCCGCGAGGGGACGTCACCGATGATGAGGCCGACTTCACACTGCTGGTCGTCATAGCCACAGGTCATCATGGTGCCCACGGTGTCATTCACCACAGCCACGATGTTGGCGTCATAGTCCTGGGGACCGACAATGGGCATCACTCTCCGCGCTCAGGAGCAGAGACCCCCAACCTTCAGGAGCAAGGTAGAAGCCCCCCTCCCCCACCCGTTTTCACGACTGCCACGGCGGCAGGGGGGATGGCGCTGCTGTCACCTCACGACAGAAACAGCTCAGTCCCCTTCACTATCTGGCTGCTCTAAGAGTCTTTCTTTCCAGAGGGGCTGGAGCGATAGCACAGCGGGCGTTTGCCTTGCACGCAGCTGACCCAGGTTCGATTCCCAGCAAACCATATGATCCCCTGAGCACTGCCAGGAGTAGTTCCTGAGCGCAGAGCCAGGAGTAACCCCTGTGCGTCTCAAGGGAAAAAAAAAAAAAACAGGAGTCTTGCCAGGGCTGGAGCAATAGTCCAGCTGGCAGAGCACTTGCCTCACACACTGCCTGGCCTCAATTCCCGGCAACACCTGAGGCTTCCCGAGCCCCTGCCAGGAGGGATCCCTGAGCACAGAGCCAGCAATCAGCCCTGAGCACTGGGTGTGGCCCACAAAACAAAACAAAGTTTCTAGAATGGCCAACCTGTTGGACAGTCTATCAGGAGAAATCAATGAAAGCTTTTTCCAATCTTCAGAGATGTAGCAAATACCTACTATGGTATCGGGTAAAAATGGTCAGAGATGCTGAAGATACCAACGGTTAGAAGCTGACCAGCTCTGAGCTGACAATGACAAGCAGGAGACACCTGAGTGTACATGTGCAAAATCTTCAGGCTGGAGAGACAGCACCGCGGGGAAGGTGCTCCCTGGGACGCAGCTAACTCTGGTTCGATGCCCTGCACTGCAGTCCCCTGGCTATGCCAGGCACAACACCCCCCTCCTACCTGCCTGCGCTGACCGCCCGCTGTCCACCTGGGAGCCTCAACCCCGTGCGCCCTTTCAAAGTCAGGGATCCCCAAGTCAGAAGGCTCAGCCTGCAGACAGCTCTGCTTCCAGTCCACCCAACTTCCGGACCCCACCTCTCACCTACTGGCTCTTTGGGGCCTCCTGTAGGAGGCCTTGGGCCAGACACTATCGCCCACATCCCCCTCAAAGAGCCTCTGCCGGGGAAACAGCCTCCTCCCCGCCCTCCCCGCGGTGCAGAGGTGCTTTACCCCGCGCTTCTTGATGGCCTTGTCCAGCAACTTCACCACATCGATGCCCTCCACTCCGCTCACTCGGAATCTCTTGGTCCAGGTGATCAGGATGGCCTGCCAAGCAAGGAGAGAGGTGGGAGTGGACGTGGTGGGGGGGACGCCTGAGAGGCCTCCTGGGAGCCCCCAGCCCTCGAAAGGGTTGCTTGAGGGGAGAAACAAAGCCAAAACCAGGAGAACTGGAAATTCCACAGTGGCCAGGTGACGCTTGCCCACTTCCAAGCCACTGCCCCACGAATGAATGTCAGAGCTACATCAGAAACCAGCAGCGAAGGTACATTAAGACATGGAAAGGCATTATTGACAGGGGGGCTGGAGCAGTAGCACAGCGGGTAGGGCATTTGTCTTGCACGCGGCCAACCCGGGTTCGATTCTCAGCATCCCATACAAAAAAAGCAAAAAAAAAAAAAAAAAAAGGAGAACACCCACCTCACATTCTAGACTGTCTCCCACCTCTTCCTGCCCCCGCACTGGAAGTGTGACCTCATCCCAGCTCTCAAAAACTAAGGAACACTGAGCTCAGACGACTTTTATTTATTTTTTATTTTTTTGCTGTTTGGGTCACACCAGGCGATCCATAGGGGTTACACCTGGTTCTGCACTCAGGAATTACTCCTGGCGGTGCTCCGGGAACCATATGGGATGCTGGGGATCGAATCCGGGTCAGCCGTGTGCAAGGCAAACGCCCTACCTGCTGTGCTATCACTCCAGCCCCTCAGACAATGGCTTTTGCCAAGGGTTTGAGAGGACCTGGGGACCAGCGATCTTTACACCTTGCCGCTCGGATGCCAGGTGAATACTGCTTTCGTTCATACTGAACAGAGGAGAGATGCAAAAACAGCCTCTTGGACGCCTCTAGATGTGGCGGGGGAGATGAGGGCACAGGAATTTGGTCCTGGATCTGTCGTCAATCAATCCAGTGGCCACAGGACACTACATTTAACTCAAAAGGAATTAAAGACCTTGCTAGTAGACCTGAATCCATAAGCCCCATCCAGGAAAACAAAGACAGATCGAGACTATGGACCTCAGAAGCATTTTCCATAATTTGATACTGTTGGCATCAAAAGATAAACAAATGGGACTATATCAAGGTCAAAAGTTTCTGCACTGTGAAAGAAACAACCAAAGTAAAGACACCCTGCTACGTGGGAGAAGATATTCACCTTTCATACATCTGACAAGGAGCTAGTAGTCAAGATTTATAAAGCTTTCATAAAACTTAACATCAAGGGCTGGGGCGACGCTATAACGCATAAGGCTTTTGACTTAAATGCAACTGACCTGGGTTCCAATTCTGCACACCCCAGATGGTTCCCTGAGCCCACCGGGAATGATTTCTGAGCACAGAGCTAAGAATAAGCCCTGAACCCTGCCAGATGTGGTCCAAAGGCAAAAACAGAAAATTAACATCAACAACAAAATTCACCCAACCTTACCCAAAAGGGGGGTGAGGAGCTGAGCACACTTCTTCCTCAAATAAAACATGAAAAAGTGCTCTTCATCACTATCAAGAAAATGCAAATGAAAGCAATGATGAGCTACCGCACCAGTGAGAACCGCACACGTCCAAAAGGGCAGAAGACCCTGTATTGGTGTGGAGGAAGGGAAAAAGGATCCCTCGGTCACTGCTGGTGGGAAGATTACTAGCTTGGCCTCTGGAAAACAGCACAGAGATGCCTCCAAAATGTAAGAATAGAGGGGCTGGAGCGATAGCACAGCGGGTAGGGCGTTTGCCTTGCACGCGGCTGACCCGGGTTCGATTCCCGGCATCCCATATGGTCCCCTGAGCATCACCAGGAGTGATTCCTGAGTGCAGAGGCAGGAGTAACCCCTGTGCATCGACAGGTGTGACCCCCAAAAAAGTAAAAAAAAAAAAAAGAGCTTCTATAGGGCCCAGTGACTCTACTCCTGGGCATTCATCCCAAAAGTGATAAATTAAAACGAGTCACGGCAGCCCTAGCCAGGACAGCCAAGATCTGGAAACAACCCCAGCGCCTGCAGAGAGGGAGTAGACAGAGAAGTGGTGTCTACACACAGCGGAACACAACTCAGCTAAGAGGAAAGACGAAATCCCGCAGCGCTCCCTGGAACTCCGATGGAACCAGACGTGAGATCAATAGGAGCAAGAGACTTGGGACCTGAGGGACAGTACAAGGGATAGGGCGACTGTCCTGCACATATCTGACCCGGGTCGATCCCCGGCACCCCATAAGGTCCCCCGAGCCCACCAGGAGTGACCCCTGAGTGCAGAGCCAGGAGTCACCCTTCAGCACTGCTGGTTTGGGCTCCCCTCCAAAGATAATAAGGGAACAACAAAAATGAGGGATTAGACAATGGCCAACAGTAACACAGCCTACGTGCCTGCCAACGAAACCAAATTTGCTAAGTGGCAGAGGGAGGAGACTGCGGGGGACCTCGAAACAGCAGTGGAGAGACACTGGCAGACCTGGGATGGTTGTGGGGCAGCATCACCGTCTTCTTCAGCACAAATCTCAGCACTATGGTAAATCACGACCCTGAATAAACTCAACAAGGGGCTGGAGCAATAGCACAGCGGGTAGGGCGTTTGCTTTGCACGCGGCCGACCCGGGTTCAATTCCCAGCATCCCATATGGTCCCCTGAGCACCGCCAGGGGTCATTCCTGAGCGCAGAGCCAGGAGTAAACCCTGTGCATTGCCGGGTGTGACCCAATAAGCAAAAAAATTTTTTAAAAATAAAAATAAATAAATAAATAAACTCAACAAACCATGTGGCCTTGGGAACCTCATTCTCATCCATGAGATGAGGATTTGGCCAGCTGAGCTCTCAAGTGCCTCGTTTTTCTCTCAGTATGAGGCTGGACCCATTGGCCTGGAGTCAGGGCACATGACACAGCATGACGCCGTGCCCAGGAAGGGGCACTCGTCCCACTAAGAAAGGGGCACAGAGGTGCCGTCCGGAAGTATGGAGGGTGCCGCGTGCACCAATGTCCTGATCCCGCAGAAATGTCCGGGTTCCCGGGGCAGGCTCGGGGGCCAGCCTGTCCGCAGAAGCAGCACGAGGGCAGGGTCCCGGGAAACCGGAGCCTCGTAAAGAGGGGATGGGGAGTGCTCAGCCCACCTGACCACTGGACGCTGGAAAAGGATGCGTGTTAACCATGAGGTGCCTGTGACAACAGAGCTGGGTCCCCTGTGAAGGAACCACTGGGCTCGTCGTGCTAGGCTGCAGCCTGTGTGCATGCATGCAGGCGAGCGGGTTTCTCCCTCTCTGCAGGGAAAGAAGGATCAAGGTCACTGCCAACCTGCATTCCTGGGGTGCGCGAAGGGATGTGGGTGTCACGTGTCACATGGGCACTGCTTCCTGCTAAACGGATGAGTGAGTGAACAGAGGACAGACCGGGGGATACAAGGGGTCACCTGAGTGCAGAAAGGAGCCGAGGGACTCTCTGGGGCTGCGGGCAGGGACAGGAGGTCCTGGCACCCGCCTCCCCCTAACCGCCACAACCTTCAGTTCCCTCAGCGGCCTCTTCTGTGCCCCCACACCTGCACTGAGCCCCACCAGCCCCGCCAAAACGACCACCGTGGCCCCCGCGTTGCTGTGTCTGAACAGTGCCATTGTCAGCCACTGAGCGGGGCTGAACCAGCCCCCGAGTCCCCAGTGAGTCCTGCAGGGGGGCACCCCTTGAAATACAAATGGTTCTCTCTACCCAGATGTTTTCTTATAAATTGGGCGGAGGCGACAGAAGAGCGGAAAGGACATTTGCCTCGCATGCGGCCGACCCAGGTTTCATCTCCGGCACCCTACATGTTCTCCTGAGCCTGGCCAGGAGCGGTCCCTGAGCACAGAGCCAGGGGTAAGTACTGAGCACTGCCGGGCGTGGCCCAAAATGAAAAGAGAAACAAACACACCAACAGAAACACATAAACCATTGGCCAGTAACCGGAAAATGAAAGGCGCCACAGGGCCTCTCAGTCCTGCCTGTGAACGCACCACACGAGGCCTCCAGAAAAGCCAAAGGAACGTGTGGATGAGAAAAGGGGTCATAAGCTTTTCCACCCCGTGGGCTTCCCACCAGCTGGAAAGATCCTTACCTCGTCTATCTTGGACTGCCGGCAAGGGAAGGAAAATGTGAATCCCACAGGTAAGTTCTTGCCCTTAATGTTCTTTTTCTCCAAGAAGTCTCCCAGGCATTCAGCAACGTGGTCGAAGAGCTGGAAGGAGCACAGGGGGAAGCAGGGAGAGATGTGAGCATGTCAGGAGAAGGGGTGCAGAGTTCTCCCCTCCCCAACACACACACGCGCACACACACACATGCGCACACACACGGACACACACACACACACGCACACGCACGCAAGTACTCATGCACACACATACACACACGCATATATGCACACACATACAGACATACACACATACCACACATGCACACACACACGTACACACATGCACATAAACACACACGCGCACACACATACACACACACAGACACACAAGCAAGCATGCACACAAGCAGAAAGGAGCTGCTGTAGGACCACAGCTGTGTCCTGGGCTCAGGGCTGAGTGCAACCAGCAGAGAAGAATCTATTACAAAGAGCCAGACGGAGTCCAAGAGACAGTGGTGGGGTTAAGGCCAACCCTGATTCAGTACCTGGCAATGCAATTGGTCCTCGAAGCACTGCCAGGAGTCACCCCTGAGCACAGGCCAGGCGTAACTAAGTAAGCCCTGAGCACTACCAAATGTAGCCTGAAAATCCCAAGAGTCAAACAAAAGAGTCTGCCCCGTAGGCAGAGAAAATTGAAGAAACACGCCAAACCCTTCAACTAGAACTGGTCTCTCTGTGGTCACCAATGTGTTACCACCAGAGTCAAGAGAAAATTCTAGAACAACAGAAAATCAGCTCATCTGCCACGTGCCAAGGCCTCGGGCTCTGCTGGCCACCCTGGTAGAGGCTTCTGATGGACCCTCTGTCTCTGCACATTCCAGAAGCTCTGGAAAAGGCCACAAGCCTCGAGCTGCCTGGTGAACGAATCCTCTTCAGCCTTCCTTGTTTTCACTTTTGACCCAGTACTAACTGAGCTGGGCAACACACACACCGCTTACATGTGGTGTTAACTGGTCCACTGGACAGTCACCAGCCATAGCTGCCCATGCCAAGAGATCAGCACCGGAAACCCCCTTTGCTATAATCCTGGACGAATCATCATCTCTTCTATGCAAACTGACAGGGACAGAGGCAGAAGCAAGAGACCAAGAAGCTTCGGGAAGCTGGGACGGAGAAGAGGGAGGCACAGCGGGGAGGTGCCTGCCTTGTACGCCGGCCGCTGACCGAGGTTCGACCCCCGGCATCCCATAGGGTTCCCTGAGCACCGCCAGAAATAATTCTTGAGTGCAGAGCCAGGAGGAACCCCTGAGCACCAGCTGTGTGTGACCCAAAACAAAGCGAGAGAAAGGCGAGGACTCGCTGGAGCGAGGAGACCCGGGCTGTGCCGTGAACGCATCGCAGGGCAGGGCGCTCCCTGCCACCAGTTCCAGTGACACCTAAACCCTGTTCCTCGTGCGTCAGGATATGCCCATGTCAGCTGCACGGAGGGGAGGGGAGACCCCCGGGTGAAGGTCACAGGCAGGGGCGGATCAGCATAGCCACAAGAACAGCAAGAGGGGGTTGGAGAGATAGCACAGCGGGTAGGGCGTTTGCCTTGCACGCGGCCGACCCGGTTCGATTCCCAGCATCCCATATGGTCCCCCGAGCACCGCCAGGAGTAATTCCTGAATGTAGAGCCAGGAGTAACCCTTGTGCATCGCCAGGCGTGACCCAAAAAGGAAAAAAAAAAAAGAACATTGAGAGCTGGGCGGGGTGGGGGGGTGTCAATGGACAGGGTGGAAAGCGGCCTCAAGGGGCTTCTGTCCACCTGGCGGGGAGCAGCCACGGTGGCCACAACCAGGTAGAGTGGGAGGCCTGCGACCCCATGGCAGGTCACGGAGGGGGACTGAGGGGTCCCGCCAGGTGGGCCACCAGCCGCTCCAGCTCCCACCACTCATCTCAGGACGAAGGAGAATCGGGAGGAGGGAGCTCCCCGGGTCTCGTTTCAAAGTCCGGACACCAAACAAGTGGGTTTTCTGGGCAACTGCGCCACGGACCTTAGAACACAACTCCCCAGCAGCAAACATTTGGCAAGGCTGGCACAGACATATGGGCAGCGGCCAGTTGGCACTGGGGCTGCCGAAGCCGCCACGGCACAAGTCAGGAGCTCCCTGGACCAGGAACACACGGCCGGCGAGCGGGAACCACAAGACCCCGCAGCCGAGGCAAGAGTCCTGGGGGGGAAGCCGGACCCCGCCTGGTCTCCAGAGCTGGGTGACGAGGCAATAATGAATCCCAAGCCCAGGCCTGCCCTCCACTTTCTGTGCCAGGACTCACACGAGGCTTTTAACGCAGGTACAGGATGGCCCCCGGTGAGCTGCCGGGCTAGGACCCCCAATTCCTGCTGCCTGAGAGGCTGGGGGAGCTGCAGGGGGGTCGCAGATGGTCACTAGGGCTCGGGGGAGGGGGCCGGCACCCACCTGGCTCCCACTGCCGTGCATGATGTTCTCCGGGGTGGGGTAGCTCAGAGACTCCATGACAACATTCTGCTTCTTCTCGTGGCTGACTTGCACCCGCAGAATCCGGAAGGAAGACCCGCCGAGGTCCAGGGCGATGAAGTCTCCCTTCTCTGCAGGGAGAGAGCAGGGTCACGTGAGACCAGGAGCTCAGGGCCCCGCACCCACAGCGAGCAGGAGACCGGCATGCACACCCGCTCTGCCGTCCGGAAGAGGCGACGAGGGGAAGCTTCCAGCCCCCCAGGACCCCAGGCAGAGACCTCGAGCCGTCCCGGTCTCCTTCCCAACTACAGGGCATGGACAGACAACGCAAGTGCCAAGTCCCCCCCCACAGCTCGCTCTGAACCCGTTTCCAAGACAGCGCTACTGGGGCTGGAGAGAGAGTGTGGGGGCTATGGTGTTCATGCAGCTGACCCCAGATTAATCCCTGGTACTGCATATGGTCCCCCAAGCACCACTAGGGGTGAGCCCTGAGCTCAGAGCCAGAAGTCCATGAGCCCCTCTGGATAAGGTCCAACCAACCCCCACCCTATCCCCGCCGCTCTCGAACCCCCTACACACACACACACACACACACACACACACACACACACACACACTTTACATAGCATTTTGGTGGCCGGGGCGATGGCTCAAAGCACCGAAGTGATGTTTCACAGGCACCCACATGATCTTCCTGAGCACTGCCAGGTGTTGCCCCTATATAAACAGCAACAGCAAAATAACAGCATTTCCGCCCAGAGAAAACCTGCCTCTCAGGCCCTGGGTTCGTTTCGTGCAGCTAGTCCTCAGTCAGCTTATTTCCATGGAGGCTACGAAGTTGGGGGTGGGGGGAATATGCCTCACATGAATGGACTGTGGGCTGCCATGTTTGCTGCTCTTGCTGTTTTGTTGGGCCATACCAGGCACTGCCAGGGGCCAGACGGCCGTGCAGTGCCAGAGCTGTGGGTCCCCTGATGCATAGTGAGCTCCGTCGCGACGTATTCGATATCCCAAACACAGTCACAACAAGTCTCGCAACGGAGACGTTACTGGGCCTGCTGGAGCAAATCGATGAACAACGGGAGGACAGTGACAATGACAGTCACGGCTACACACTGCCAGTGCCAATTGTGGGAATCAGAGGCGTGAGTCAGTGTCATGAGACTACAGCCTGAGGTCCATTTTCAGCGCTGCGCAACCATCACTATTTCCAGAACTCTTCCTGACCCCTTCGCATCGCCCCACACAGGAACTCTACACCCAGTGACCAGTAACTCCCCTCTCCCTTGCCCTGGTTCCTGGAAACCAGAGACGAGTCTGTCTAAATTCGTTCTATCCCTCTGGGTTCATCTATTCTAGATTGACCAACAGAATCACAGAAGGATGCGCTTTTTATTGTTGTTTTCTGGGTCACACTTGGCGATGCTCAAGAGGAGTTCCTCCTGGCTCTGCACTCAGGAATCACTCCTGGCGGTGCTCAGGGGACCATAAGGGATTCCAGGAATCGAGCCTGGGTTGGCCGCGTGCCAGGCAAATGCCCTACCCGCTGCGCAATTGCTCCAGCCCTGAATACGTGCACTTTTGTGTCTGGCTTACTTCACTTCCCTAATAAGCTCATCCCTGTTGCAGTGCATCCGTGTTCGGTCCCTTCTACGTCGAACACCACCCCACTAAATACACACACACACATACCACATCCCGACAATCACCACAGAGTCTGTGTGACCAAGAGGGACCTGGGTTAGGAACATCCCCAGATGAAAACCCAAGTGTCCCCCCCACAAGTCAATGGATCAACAAGATGGGAGTGTATCTATGTCATGGATTGGTGGCGTATTCCAACCCTGAGTTTGGCTGAGAGTTTAAAGTTGCTAGCAGAATCCTAACCTCTAGGGCACATGTGCGATCCCCAGGTTAAATCCCTGCTTCAATATTTGGTATGACAACCTCCTTCTGTCACTCCATCAAAAGTGTTTTCTTTCACCGTCAGTTCGCAAGCACTGAACCTCACTCTGCTCCCTGGCCAGTCCCAGGACGGGGGGAGAACTATTAGCATCCCAAGTCCACAGTAAAAGCCATGTGGGGTCAGTAACTTGTCCAAACATACAACCAGAGGCAGGATTTCAACCTAGAAACTTAGGCATGGAGGGAAACTACCTCCAAGGTAGACCTCGGGGCCAGGATCATCCCAGGGTTGGCATTCAAGAGAGACCTGAGCCCACCAGGATGGTCATTTCTTGGAGGGGTTGGCGGGGTGTCCTCTTCGGAACTCCGAGCAGTTTTTTTAGGCTCTGGGCTTTAGTGGAAAGAGTGAGAACCGAGTCCGGCCAACAAGGATATTTGCTTTGTGGGGGGGCCACACCCAGTGGTGTTCAGGGGACTAGGTGGTGCTGGAGACTGAACCATGATTCCTAAGTGTCACGCCCACACATGGGCCCTCTGAGCAGCCCCAGAGTTTTAGACGTGGACACCAATTTACTTCATGAAGTTGACTCCTCGGCAGAACTTGACAAAAATAGATGGGGCCCGTTTTTCAGTCACCAGTCTGGGCCGAGGTCTCGCCTTCAGCTGCATCAAAGATGGGCAAGTTAAAGTGGGTTCTTATGTCTGAGTGCCAGGTGGTGACAGGAGGGCACAACTGCCCGTGGCTGGCAGCCAGCGTGTCCACACAGCCAGCCCCAAGAAGACCAGTGGCCTGACTTCAGCTGCTCGTAGGTCAGACCGGAATCTGGTCTGGGGGACCCGGTGGTGACACGCACTTTCATAGCTCTGCAAAGCCCCTTCCCCAGCCTCCCTGCACTCTACACACACTGCTCGAGGGTTCTCCTACGTTTAACAAGCACCAGCTGAGGAAGCCCGAGGGCGTCAAGAGTCGGAGAAACGATCCGAAAAGCTGGCTTTGAGGCGTCAGGATGAGACTCACTGGCACACGACTGCCCCTGGGACCTGATGGATTGATTTGAGGGGTCCTGCCCCTGCATGCAGAGTAGAAGCGGGGTGCTGTCAGGCTAGGGGCCACTCCTGGTCCTTCCCGGGGCGGCGACCTTGGCTCCGGGAAAGGGAAGTTGGCACCTCTTCTGAAAACCACATCTACGGCTCCGGAAACGGGACAAACATTAACTCACCTTCTGGGTTCAGGGATAAGGAAGCTCCGGCCAAACCAGTCAAATGACTGGCTCACGGCAAGGCCAGTGCCTCTCCCAATACTTAGTCACTCTTACTTGCAAATATTGCGATGCTCGTTACACCTTCCGTGCCTGAGTCTTATCGGCCTCACTGGGAGGATTAGCAAGGTGAAGGCCAGCGCTGTCCACCATGCTCCCTCCCTTCCCCTGGACTGAGTGGTGCATACAGCAGGCCATGGGTCAGTGCTTGCTGCTGGCTCACCAAGAACTGCGGGTATCAAAGGCAAGGCCCTCTAGCTCTAGGCTCTGCCAGGACCAGGGCACCAATGACCGATCTTCAGTCATGATCACGACCACGACCATCCTGTTGTTCGTCGATTGCCTCGAGCAGGCCCCGGTAACGTCTCCTTCGTCCTAGCCCTGAGATTTTTAAAAACGTGCCATATTCAAGGCTCTTTCAGAGTTAGGAGAATGAGACCCATCATTATTACTGGTATTTGGCATATGGGGTACGCCACGGGGAGTTTGCCAGACTCTGCCGTGTGGGCCGGTTACATTCGGTAGCCTGCCAGCTTGTCCAAAGTAAGGATGAGATAGTAAGATCTCGCGCTTCCGGGATCTTCAGTAAGGGCATAAAATTCCTGGCATACATTCCACTGATGGTCTAGCATCTCTTTATTATTTATTTTTTCTTTTTTTGGGGGGGGTCACACCCAGCAATGCACAGGGGTTACTCCTGGCTCTGCACTCAGGAGTTACTCCTGGCGGTGCTCAGGGGACCATATGGGATGCTGGGAATCGAACCCGGGTCGGCCGCGTGCAAGGCCAACGCCCTACCCGCTGTGCTATCGCTCCAGCCCCAGGTCTAGCATCTCTTTAGAACATGTCACCACCACCACCCGCTCCCCTCCGCCCCCCCAGCTCTACTTTTATCTAAGAGGTTGGTGCTGGGCCCAACCCTCAGCTCTAGCTCTGTGATTCAGGAGCATCCAGGGTCACCTATGTTGGGCATCACAATTGGTTAAGGATGGTCACATGGCCCCAGTGGGCAGCCAATTGGTGCTCTGTCCAAGACCGTCTGCAGGAGAGCCAGCTCCGAGCTGAACTCATGAATGGGGGCAGCGGTTTCTGCAAAGTCAACTTCAGAGTGAAAGAATAAGGGAGAGAGGCCACCTTCGGCCCACACACCTTGCTTCCAAGAGTCTAGAAATTCCCCTTTTCGGCTTGCTGAAAACTGAGCTTGAACTTGTCTTCCATCACGAAGGGGCTCTGCTATTACCCCCTTCCCTCTCAGGCTGGCTCCCTGCAGCAGAGCTGAGGGTCTGGCCACCCATCGTGATGGAGCAGGGCCAGGCGGGGTGGCCCCCTCATTCTCTGGGGTATGAATGAGGACATGCTAGCCTGCACTGGTTTCTCCCTTTTCCCTGCGTCCTCCTGTGTCAGATTACAGGGATGCTGGTGAACTCAGAAAAACTCCAGATCCACGACCAGAGGAACAGGACGGCGGAGTTAAAAGACACTCACTTGCCTGCCTCCACCCAAGCCTGATTCAATCCCTGCAACCCACAGGGTTCCCCAAGCACTGCCAGGAGTGATCCCTGAATGCAGAGCCAGGACTTAGTCCTAAGCAGCACTGGGTGTGGACCCCCCAACCCAACCAAACTAACAGAAACTCCAAACCTGGATCCTTTGTCCACGGCTGAACCTACATATTTAGGCCGAACTGGTGAGAGTGTGGTGAGGGATGTGGGGAGCCTCTGACAGGCCGCGACTGGGCAGTCTCCCACAAAACGCTCAGCGTCAACCGTTCAGGTGTGACACAGAGGGTGGCATGGAGCCATGCGTCCCACAGCACAGCTCCCTTTCCAGAGCTTTCTTTTCCCCGAGTCCCCTTCAAGCCCCTGCAGCAGGGAGAGGTCACCCTAGCTCTTCTACAGATGGGCAAACAGGGGCCCAGCGAGGGAAGCCAAGAGCCTTCTCCAAGGTCACCCAGCCGGGCAGCACGGCCGGCTGGATCCAGCGTTCTGAGCTCTTCTCCCTGCAACATCCCCGTGGGCCGCCCTCCAGCTTCCTCTTGAAGCACATGCCTGCTCATGCCGTCTCATGCCACATGGCTGTCTCCATGAGGCCAGAGGCCGCACCTCCAGCCGAGGCTCATTAAACACAGGGCTGAAGAGCCCCTGACAGCTCTCCGCTCCCTAATGAAGGCCGTTATTACCGGCGAATGGGGAAAACAAACACCAGCACAGATGTCCCTCTCGAGCTCAGGCCTGCGCCGGGACACAGGGCAAACAGAACTCGAGCACGAGAAAGGCCACCTGCGTGGTGGCTGTGCCTCTCTCAGGACGAGACACGCCCTCCCTGCCACGCAGAGTTCCGTGTCGCTATGCGAGACGCAAGGAGCGCACGGGACGTTTGGGAGGTTTCAGAAACAAAGAGAACTTCCAGAACAACCCAGGCAGTTTTCCAGAGAGGGGGCTCAGGCAGGAAAAAGTAAGTGACCAGCCCAAACACTAGGGAAAAAGAAGTTATTTTCAAGACCGGCACAACTGATACGGCACATGCCAAGTACATGTGTGACACTGAGTTTAAACTGGCATCGCATGTTCCCTGGGCACTGCCAGCCTGAGGCCAGAAGCTTAAGTTAAAACCACACGAGGCCATAGGGCTGGAGCGATAGCACAGCGGGGAGGGCGTTTGCCTTGCATGTGGCCGACCCGGGTTCGATTCCCAGCATCCCATACGGTCCCCCGAGCACCGCCAGGAGTAATTCCTGAGTGCATGAGCCAGGAGTGACCCCTGTGCGTCGCCAGGTGTGACCCAAAAAGAAAAAATAAAAACCCACATGAGGCCAAATATCACCAGCTCCGTGGCCCACCCTACCCCCAGAATCCTGAAAATGATGCCTGTACAAAAATTGTTTTTAATGTTTTTGCCATTCCTGGGTCAATTTTCATACTGTCTTTTAAAAAACTCAACTTGTCAGACAAATACATTTGTCTGATGATTTTAGGCATACATTCATATACACACATCATGGTTAAAAAAACAGTACAAAAAATAGCTTTGCCTTAAAATAGTTTAAAAAAAAAAAGTGTAGCATCCCTGCAAATATAAAACAGTAATATTAGGGGTCCGTGTGATAGGACAGTGGGCAGGGCACTAGCCTTGCAAGCAGCCAACCTGAGTTCTATCCCCAGCGCACCAGATGTCTCCCAAGCTCAGTTACAAGTGATCATTGAGTGCAGAGCCAAGAGTAAGCCCTGAGCACCCCTGGGCGAGGCCCCAAATCCAAAACCAAAACCAGAGAAACAATAATATTGGTACTACTGTTAAGTAAATAACAAACAAGAATAAAAAGAGTCTTGGTACATATACTCAGTGGAAAATGACTCAGCTACTTTAAAAAGATGGAATCTCTTTTTAAAAAAAAATTTTAAGTGGATGAGAACAGATGGAAATGACAAACTTCATAGTCTCCTAATCACAGAGAAGGCTGGTGCAGGATGAAAACCTGTGTGAGATGGGACGTTTGCAGCGAAGAAACTGTGAAGTGGGAGGCGCCATCTACTCTATAAAATGGAATCGCCTGGGCTAAGCCCCACGCCACCAAACCAAAGTGAAGGGTAGTTTCTGCCCTTGCAGACACAGACTCCTAATCCAGTCATCAGGAATCACCTGGTCAGCACGGGCAGGTCACCTTGAGCCTCCTTCCGCCATCCCTGCTAAGGCTTAAGACTGCAATGTGACAGTACAGTGGGAAGGGCATTTGCCTTGCACACGGCTGCCCAGGGTTCAACCTGGCATTCCATGAGGCTCCCTGAGCACCACCAGGAGTAATTCCTGAGGGCAAAGCAAGGAGTAGCCCCTGAGCATCACTGGTGTGACCCAAAAAGCAAAAAATTAAAAAATTAAAACTGCAGTAACAATTCTCTATTGCTGCCCAGAACGATTTCATTCCTCTTGCTTCTTCTGTCTAAAAATCCTTTGCCTTGCTGAGCTCTTCCATCTGCTAATTTTGATGTTTTCCTGATTCATAAACTGCTTGAATAAAGCCAGTAAAATCTAAAATAATCATCAAAACAGGTATTGGGGAGATGGCTCAATGGGCCAGAGGGCTTGCAGTGCGTGCAAGAGCCCTGGGTACAGCCTCTGGGAGCACACGGTTTCCAAAGCACTGACAGAGGTGACCCCCAAACATTACCAGCTATGGGACTCCCCCCCCGAAAAGAAGTAATCTCTGTTCTTAGAAAGTCATGCTACATAAAAGATTTGGGGTTCCCGGTATTAACTGTGACCATACCACAGACCAAATAGTTTGACTTATTCTTTCAAGTGACAGCATGCTTCTAGGAATCATGAAGCCGAAATAAGAAAACAGCCAACTCGGTTCACCCTCAAAAAGCTTACAGTCTAATTGGCATGTGTAATATCCTTACTGTCAAAACAGGAAAGAAGAAAAGGGAGGTTTACAGGAATGAGGGAGTGCCCCTTGGACACACCAAAGCTGCATTGACACCCCAAAGCCGCAAAAAGGGCGGCCCTCCCTTAAACAAGGTGGCTTAGAAGAGGGATTTGAACTAAGCCAAGTCACGGAGCAAAAAGGCATCAATATTTCCCTTCCTTCATTATTCATGCCTTTCCTACTCTGAAAAGGAGAAGCAGCAGCTAAAATCCATTTCAGGGCTAAAAAAAAAAAAAAAAAGGTAACGGAAGAGCCATTGCCCACATCAAAAATACAAAATGGGGGCGGGGGGAGGGAGACACAGGACAGCAGGTGAGGCACTTGCCTTGCACACAACTGACCCAGATGCAATTCCCGACACCATATGTGGTGTCGCTCCCCTCCGCCCCCAGGAGTGACCCCTGAGCACAGAGGCAGGAGTAAGCCCGGAACACTGCTGGATGTGTCCCCCAAAACACAAACAGAAAAATAACATAAAACAAAATAAAATGAGCCAATGTATTCCTGAGATTTTTTAAGAGTTCAAAACTCTGATTAGATTCTGTTCAAAGCCCTGAGCCTAGGACAGGAATGATATAATAGTGGGTAGGGTGTTTGCCTTGCACGTGGCCGACCTGGGTTCAATCCCCAGCATCCCATATGGTCCCCCAAGCAACACCAGGAGTGATTCCTGAGCGCAGAGCCAGGAATAAGCCTGAGCATCACGGCCCCAAACAGAAAAGAAAAAAACAAACAACTCTGAGCCTAGTGCTCTGGCGTCAAAGCCACCAGAAAGGGAAGATGTTTTTTGGAAGGTTCGGGGAAGCCATGAGGCCACTTCACAGCTGGGCTTGCAGCAAACCGGGGGTCAGAGCCACCATGGACTCTCCTCCACCATGACAACTACAGCGGCGGTGAGCGTTTCCGAGGGCCAAGAGCTCCCTGGTTTGCTAGGAAGGAGCCCCACATTCTGATGACTCCAGGTGGCTCTTGATGGATAAAGGCAGGGCAACGGCAGGGCAGGGGCCCACTGCACAGCACAAAGGGACTGGACTGAGGTCTCTGAAGGGGAGGACCTTGGACACAAGATCTAAACCCACCAATAAACAGCAGGAACAGGGAGATGACAGAGCCCTTCCCTCCACCACTGTCCCAAAGGCCCTCCTGTGTCAGATCAGTTCTAAATGATGTTCATTTTGCAGGCTACGGCCCTGATGTCCTGTGTGTGTGTGTGTGTGTGTGTGTGTGTGTGTGTGTGTGTGTGTGTGAGAGAGAGAGAGAGAGAGACAGACAGACAGACAGACAGACAGACAGACAGAGATACAGAGATTGAGAGAGACACACAGAGTTGCCGGGAATGGAACCCAGGGCCTCACAAACTCAAGGAATGTGCTCCACGGCTGAGTCACACTCCTGTCCCCTGACTCACCATCCTAAATGAGCCCCCAGAGACAGGAAATAGCAAGAGGGTGTGTGTTCCCACCTGAGCAAGAAACTTCCTCATAAGTTCTCACCTTCCTGCATGTAAGAAGCAGGTGAACCCCGGCCTAGTGCAGGATTCCCAAGAATGAGTCAGCGAAGGCAGGGATGAATGACTTTTTTTATTTTGCTTTTTGGGTCACACCCAGGAATGCACAGGGGTCACTCCTGACTCTGCACACGGGAACTAACCCTGGCGATGCTCGGGAGACTATATGGGATGCTGGGAATTGAATCCGGATCTACCGCGTGCAAGGCAAACTCCCTACCCGCTGTGCTATCGCTCCAACCCCAGGGACGGATGACTTTTTTCCAATCTCAACTCCCCTTTGCCATTGGTCGGCTTTAGAGATTTTCTACGGTTAGCATATAAGAAATTTGCTCCAATGAGGGTCTGAATCTCTCCTGAGTCTGTCACCTACCTGTTCTTAGGATTGGATGCTTATCTGGAGGCAAAAAGGGATGTGTTGCCGTAATAGAGTTCTGCTAAAAATCAGCTTTCTGTTTGTTCTGGAGCGCTTTGCGTTCTGGAGACATGAGAGCAACCCACAAAGCATCTGCAGATTCCATAGATGCTGTATTTTCTTACTGTAAGTCACTAGACATTCAGGCCAATGAGAACAAATCAGCCTTGTCCAACTACGGTATTCTCCTTGTGCCTGACACGCAACAGACGCTTGGGAGACGTTGGAGGATAGCTGGGTGGAGGGAGGGAGGAAGGGAAGGATGGACGAGTGGATGGAAGTATAGAGGGATGGAGGGATGGATGCATGGCAGATGGAGAGAGGGATGGGTGAGGGAGGGAGGGATGGATGGACGATGGATGGATAGATGAGGGGTGGGTGGGTGGAGGGAAGGATAAGTGGATGAAGTAACCGTTGGAAAGGAGGATGAAGAAATGGATGAATGAAAGAATGAATGAATGAAGGTGAAAAGGCGGATTTCACAGAGCATTCAGTCCTGGGGCCCAATCTCTGGGTGCGACTCACCTGAACCATCAGGAATGGATCTTACAAAAGTTGGCAACATCTTAACTGTAGCTGTTGGATTAAAATCCCGGGAAAGGCCATTCTTCATCTCTCTCTTAAAACGAGTCATGATATCTAATAGAGTTTCGTCGGAGAGCCTCATGGAATACAGATACTTGTCAATCTGGAGAAGGATGAGAAGAAAGAAGGGTGTGAGGCCGTGACAGAGCACAGAGGCTTCAGTTCAAGTCTAAGGCAGGCAGGGCGGGAGTGCCCACCTGCCCGTCACAATCCCCCCCGCTTTGGGCACTGGAACACCCACACTGACACATCACACAGTCATGTGACCCAGAGCAGACCCTCACATGCTCCTGAGTCCCCGTTTCCCAGCTATAAAATGAAGCATCAAGGGCGAGAGGTAGTATGAGATTTAAAGCACTTGCTTGCACACAGCCCACCCCAGCTCAAATCCCAGCATCCCATACGGTCCCCTGAGCACAGAGCCAGGAGTAGCTCGAGCCTTACCTGGGTATAACCCTAAAACAAAACATAGCAAAAGAAGGTACCAAGCAACTCCAAAGCCCCTTCCGGTCCTGGAAGGTTACGGAGAAGCTGCTCCTTGACCCCCAAGTACAAACTGGGGGCAGCGAATGTTTCTTTGGACCCAGAACACTGCCAGAGGCACAAAAGGAAGCTTCCAGAGCGAGCCAGGGAGGGCAACCCCACGGCCCATCACATGACAGCCCTGTAAAGGACTTCGGCTCACCCACGCAAAGACCGAAGTGATAGGGAGATGCAGCGTGAGCGTTGTTCTGGCAAGTTCCGGGAGGCCCTAGACAATGGGGATGGAGCTGGGTCTTGTGTACACGCAGTCTGTGTTCATCGCCAAATGCTCCTGGGTCCTATCCACCGCCCCTCGCCTCTTGGAGAGGGAAGCTACCAGGAAGGAGCCTGAGCCCACCCACCCTCGAAGCTGAGAACCCCATGGTCTTCTGTCCCCGCCTGTGTCACCTTCATCCTTCTGGGCACTATTTGGGTTTGGGTTTGACTAAAAAAAAAATCTCAGGACCCTTGAGCTGAGCTACACCTTTATTATTTTATTATTATTATTATTATTATTTTTGGCGGGGGGGGGGGGCACACCCAGTGGTGCTCAGGGCTTATTCCTGGCTCTGTGCTCAGGGATCACTTCTGGAGGGACTTAGGAGACCATAGGGGCTGCCAAGAAGAGTCCACCCTGGGTCGGCCGCGTGCAAGGCAAGCGCCCTCCCCGCTGTCCTACCACTCCGGCCAGATGGCGGCAGACTTCTGGCTGGAGAAACCTCCGCAGCCTTACTTGGGCATGTCTCGTGACCTGGAGGGGGGAGCCTCACCTGAGACCTGTCTTCCCTGGCTGGGTGCTTCAGCCAAGTCACTCGGCTTTTCAGATTTTAGCTGCCACCCCTGTATATACCCAGGGGATACAGGGGATCTCCCTGGGGGTCAGAGAGGCGGTCCAGTGGGCAGAGCTGAACACATGCTTTCCATACTTCTAGGAGGCCTGGGTTAGATCCCCAGCCCCACATGGTGCCCCGGCACCAGCACAGAGCTGGAAGTCCCCAAGTACCGCTGGGTGTGGGTTACAAAGGAAAAAAGGAAATAGGAGTGTCTCTGACAGGGTCCTTCTGAAGGTTAGCAGCAGACCGGATGTGACAGCAGCACACGGCATCCAGTGGGAATCAAACCGCTCCTGTGCCCGGCCCCTGGAGGAGCCGGGAACCTCTGACAGCGTAAGTAATTCGGCACCTTTCCTTTCCTGGGGAGCCCCAGGTAGCACGAAACCTGATCATGTTCGGCCAGAAAGGAGGCGCCTCGCTGCACCCCACAGTGCTGCAGCTCAGGGACCCCTCCAGGCACCCCCCACCTGCACTCCCAGCAGCTCCAAGCCTTAGGGCAGAGAGCTGCCCACGCCCGGGTGATGGAGAGAACCCGGCCCCCACCCCAGGCTCCCCAGTGCTGATGGGGCTGGTTGGCAGGTCTCTGGCCGGGCCAGGAAGGAAGTGGGGGCAAAGGTGACAAGGTGACAAGGTCCCACCACCCACCAAGGAGGCTCCCGCAGACCACTGAGGACCCCACCCAGCTTCCTGGGCGCCTCTCGCCAGCCCTGGGAGGAGAACTGGCAGCAGAGAGTGGGCAGCGGGGTCCTATTACTCTGCAGAGACTTGTCCTGGGTTGTCCCTTCTGGAGACACACAGTGGCACAGGAACCTCAGGACAGGGCACGTGCTCGCCAAGCCCCCGCCAAAGAGCGTCCAGCAGAGGAAAGAACTCGCGGCCCACGCCAGGGTCCACGTGGACCTCACCCCCCACCTCCTGCTCCCAAAGGCACGGGCACGTTCAAGACCGGGCATGCCCGAGGGAACAGGCTGGCCATGGCACAAACACTGCCCGCACAGGCTGACCCGACCCCCTGTGGAAGGGGACACAGGATGGAAAATTTCCGCCCCCTCCTGCCCACCCACAGAGAGGACAGCAGTGTGATCAAAGCTTCGCAGGGCAGACTTCGAAACACACCTATCAAAAGGGATATTTTACTGGCGAAGGAGACTGAGATCCTGGACAGAAAGGGCTGAAGGACTCTGCTGACCAGGGCTGGGCGCAGCAGGGAGCAATTCCCCTAGGATTCGTCCCAGCACCCCAAAAGTGAAAAGAGGCGGTCAGGCAGACAGCACAGCATCTAAAGCCATTTCCTGGCACATGACTGGCCCCAGTTCAGCCCCTGGCACCATGTATGGTCCCTTCAGCTCTGCCAGGAGTGACCTCTGAGTACTACTCGATGTGGTCCCCAGACCCAAATTCTTTGTTTGTTTTTCAGTGGCCCCAAACACTTTTGCCTCTGCACTCAGGGATCAATCCTGGCAGGCTCCACAGACCATATGGGATGCTGGGGATCAAACCCAGGTCAGCCGGCTTCAAGACAAGCACCCTACCTACTGTACTATATAGCTCTGGCCCAAAAATAATTAAATTTCTTTTTTTTTTTTTTTGGCTTTTTGGGTCACACCTGGTGATGTACAGGGGTTACACCTGGCTCTGCACTCAGGAATTACTCCTGGCGGTGCTCAGGGGACCATATGGGATGCTGGGAATCGAACCCGGGTCGGCCGCTTGCAAGGCAAATGCCCTACCCTCTGTGCTACCGCTCCAGCCCCCAAAATAATTTAATTTCAATTTAGGAAAAAGAAAGACCTCTTGCTAAGGGCAGAACAAAGATTTCAACAGTAGACTCACTAATCTTTTTTTTTTTGTGAGACCCCCTATGTGCAGATGCTCAGGGCTTACTCGTGGCTCTGTGCTCAGGGGTCACTACTGTTGGTGTTCGGGAATTGGGGACCACACCTGTGCGCCAAACAAGCAGTTCACTCACTGTCCCCCATCTCTCTGGCCCTCACTTGTCTTCCTCAGTGTAAGGGACAGGAGGGAGAACGGGGTGGTTGTTAGCATTGCTTTAATAACAGCTCCTACCTGCAGAGGTCTTCTTGCCTTTAAGGCAGGGGAACCTCACATAGATTTTCCCAGGAAAGGCCGGAGCTAATACAGCTGGGAAGGCAATTGCCTGGCACACAACTGACCCAGGTTTGATCCCCAGCATCCCATATGGTCGGTCCCCTGAGCCCTGCCAGGAGTAATTCCTGAGTGCACAGCCAGGAGTAACCCCTGTGCATCACCAGTGCAGAGCCAGGAGTAAGCCTGAGTATCGGCCGATGAGGAACCACCAAATAAACTAACAACAGCAACAAAAAAACCTTTTTCCACTGGGATGGCATCAAGAGATAAAACACGCTCATGGACACCAAGAACGGAGATGCAGCGGGCGAGTAACCCCCACTGGCTTCCCTTTCTTGCAGTGCCATGACCCAGCCAAGGATGCAGAAGATCATTATCTCCATTTTACCGCCAAAGAAATGGAGATCCGAGAGTCTCGCAAAGTCGTGATGCCCACACGAGGGCCCAGCTCTGAAGTCCAGGTCCCCTGACCCTCCTTCTGGGCTTCTGAAGGTTTTTTGGTTTGGTTTTGCGTTTTTTAGGGGGGTGCTCCCAAGCAGTGGTAGGGGGATCAGGAGTCGCTGCCTGGGATACTCAGCCACCTGGATGGGACACTTTGATGCTAAGGGCCTGCGCCACGGGGCTTAACTACTCAGAACCCAGAGGCTCCAATATGCAGATGTGCTTAACCTGCACTCAGGGATCAATCCTGGCAGGAACTGGGGCCATACCAAGTGCCAGGACAGAACCCCAGTCAGTTGTGCACAAGGCAAGTGCCTTACCCCGATCTCTCTGGTCCTCTGAATCTTCTTTTCCTTATTTTTAAGATGGGAAAGTAACATCTCACCTCAAAGCTAGCTATTGAGAATTTTTCAAATAATGTGCAAGGACAAGGTAATTGTTTCTGCACATTTTCTTGACAAAAACCAGTGTCCCTGGGGCTGGAGTCCTAGCACAGCAGGTAGGGCATTTATTTGCCTTGCACGCGGCTGACCCAGGCTCGATTCCCAGCATCCCGTAAGGTCCCCCGAGCACCGTCAGGATTGATTCCTGAGTGCAGAGCCAGGAGTAACCCCTGAGCATCACTGGGTGTGACCCAAAAAGCAGGAAAAAAAAAAGTGTCCCACCCTCTCATCTCATCATCACATTCCCCAAACATGTGATCTGCATAAAGCACACAGTTACCTAAAAAAATAAGAGAAATGCAACCATTATTAGCCCATTTTACAGAAGAGAAAACTAAGAACTAAAGGTAGGTAGCAATGACGGCGAATACAACATCTCCAGCAAAATTCTGAGACTGGCTTCTGAACTTTTTTTAAAGCGACAGGAAGTGACAGTATGGATAAGAAATACACTTATTGAAAATAATCTAACAACACCTAAGTAGATGAAAGTAGAAAAAAGGCATTCTCTCCGCAGTCTGCCCAGCGATGGTCCCTATTCCTGACGTCCTAGACGGTCCTCCAACCTCAACCTCAACCAACACCCCAGCCAACTGAGGCTGGTTTCTTCCCTGTTACAGGAACAGAACCACCCACCGCGCACATCCTTCTGCTCCCAAACCCTGTCCCTGGGGACAGCCAGTGGTCACTTCAGACTCGCTCAGTCCACGCTAGGTCTAGGAGGGAGCGTGGAAGGGGACCCATGCCGCCAAGTG